GGCTAAACAACAAGTACCATCTTTAACGTCTTTTGGTATGACGTGGCCAGGGCATCGAACCACCGACCTCCCGCTCTCCGGACCAACGCTCCATCCACTAGACCACGGAGGCGGGTTATGGTATGTTGTGACTACAAGTCGATGCCTCTATAGAGCGACCCCTAACCCAGCGGGGATCAGGGTGAGAGACTGGCCGTCAACCTATGCTGATGTAAGGGGTGACTGAACTGATCCGGGGGTCAGGTTCTGTGGCCTGGTTGATGGTATATATATATAGATAAAATACAAAAGTCCAAAGATGAGCTGTATAATTTACTCAACCGGTTTCACGCATGGGATTTTCAAGAGTACAGTTATGCCTTTACGCTATATATATATATATATATATATATATATATATATATATATATATATATACAGCCAGCGTAACGGTATAACTGTACTCTTGAAAATCACATGCTATATATATATCCTACCCCGACTGCGTGGAACAGTGCTCACAATATCAATCACTATATTGTATGCTACAGGGCCTGATAATGACAGGCCGCCATCTCAACAAACAAACAAACAAAAGCAGTTCGTCCCAGACACGCTCTCCAACCAACAAAGTCCTGGGAAGACGTATCTTACTCCGAGGACGCAGGTTTAACGTCACCCTATCTCCTTTTCAATCAATAAGCATTATCTGCTTGAGATTCTTCGTCGTGAACACCACTTCAAACGATGAAAAAATATACTATATCATACTTGTTTCTAAAAGATCTATATGTTCAGCTGTTACCAAGTCGGTCATCAATAGGGGTAACGATTGGGCCAATCTTGTAATGCGCGGCAATTGGCTGTGCAGAGTTGCGTCTTTTAACCGTGCCAGAAAACTATGATCCTTGGTTCGAATCCCAGATTCGCCCTGAATATGTTTCTGGGTTTGTCAGCACCATACCCGTGGTCGTGGGTTTCACAAAAAGGATAAACTTTTAAGACCTGCACCACTTCGGTTTTTTCTCCAACATCAAGTAACACCGTGACATGATCTAAATTTACGAGAACGACATGAACACAAACGAATGTTCATACACGAAAATAAAATAATTCCTTGATTTCAATCTACGTATTGAACATCTCGTGAGCACGCCGAAGGTCTCACTGTATTACATTCGTGTGCTATTCCCGGACCATCTTCTCGAGGCAAGGGAGTGAACTGACCATGAAAGTCCAGTTTCCAACCTTGCCGAACTAGGCTGAAATTCCGTAGTTACATTTTGGCTGGACTAACGAGTCTATGCATAGTCAAATGAAAATAGCCTCACGAACTCAACATCCGGTCTTGACTGGTTGCCGCCATTTTGTATGCAGCAAATGCAAGTGATATGAGTAATGCAATCTGATTGGTCAATAGGAGGGACATAGAAGGGACATACATGTAACTCGTAATAGCCTCTGGTGCAGCAACGACCGAGCCTGGACATTCGAGTGTAGTTCGGCAAGGCTGGAAACTGGACTTTTATTGTCAGTTAACTCCCTTGCTTCGGGAAGATGTTCCCGGGCCAATTTGCAGGTTACGGAAAGGGGCGAGTGGTGAGGAATGACTTCTCTGTCTGGAGTTTGTGCAGAAGGACGGCTATCAGATACCCAAGCAGGAACACAATATAACACGATACCAGATTTGTTCTAGATAATTTCCGGTTTCGCTGACATAGATATACTTCCCTGTGTGTAATTGTCCGCATTATTACTGCCTAGAAGACGTACAGCTAACGGGATTCCACCTCGACCGGTGTAAATGGAATACATGCTGGAATAGGCCCAGGCTATAATGGTTGTCATGGAGCGCTCATTCCACGCGCTGCTTAATCCTACAGCGAGGCATAATTTAACGTGCTATTGTAAGGTCACTGCAGCTTCTACACAAACCTCCTGAGTGGTATTTAAAACACTGGTTGCGTTTGGTAACAGGTAAAATGAAATGGAGTGCGTGCGTGTGTGTGTGTGTGTGTGTGTGTGTGTGTGTGTGTGTGTGTGTGTGTGTGTGTGTGTGTGTGTGTGTGTGTTTATGTGTGTGTGTGTTTGTGTGTGTTTGTGTGGCTGTTTGGACTAGAACGGACTAATGTCGGTTTTATACTGCTCACCCACTAAGTGAGTGAGTGAGTATGGTTTTACGCTGCTTTTAGCAATATTCTAGCAATATCACGGCGGGATTACCAGTAATGGGCTTCACACATGTACCCATGTCAGGAATCGAACCCGGGTCTTCGGCGTGACGAGCGAACGCTTTAACCACTAGGCTACCCGACCGCCCCTCACCCACTGAGATACCATGCCGCAGTGTAACACGAATACACACTCAGACACAGTAGACTGAATCCAGGCAGGGTAACAGCAAGTACCACATCTTGTCATGTATTATATCAAGGTGCTCGAGTGATCGAGAAGAACTCAGATGTAGCGAGCCAGGGCTGCTATGGTGATGTGGGGGTCTCCCTAATGTATCTTGAACGACCTCTAGCGGTGCCATGTTGCCGATATCCAAAGTCCGCCAATTGTGTCATGCGCAACTCTGAAATGCCTTGTCACCGATGCTTGTGATTCACCAGCTTCAAGTCTTCAAACCACCCCCCACTCCCCCACCCCCATACACACACCGAAGGTGGGGGGCACGGGTGGCCCAGTCGTCTAAGGCGCCACGATTCGCTGTGCAGAGTTGCGTCCCTTAAAATTGTGCACGCCAGAAACCTATGATTGTGGATTCTAATCCCGGTTCGCCCCGATTATGTTTCTAGGTTTGTCAGCACCATACCCGTGCTCGTGGGTTTCACCGAAGTGGTAAACGTCTAAGACCTGCGTCACTTCGGGCTTTCCTCCCAAATTAAGCTGACACGCCGCGATATAACTGGAATACTGTTAAAAGCGGCGTTGAACCCAACTCACTCACTCACTCACTCACACCGAAGATTTTTGGACGCCTCCCTTTTAAAAATGCCGCATCCCTTGAACAACCCCCCCAAAAAAAACCACAAATACAAGCCAGACATTGACAGATTCCATGACTTGTCCGTGAAATCTGCTTTTCTGTTTCCCACGAAATATATGTCAAATGAATGTTGATGAATGCAGATATAATTAATATCAACCCTACCCATGACAAGAAAACCGTTTTATGACACTTTATCAGTTAAACTGAACATGTAGACTGTATTTCACGTGGCAGTGCGTGTCCTATGAATATCTATTGTTGTCTGTTCTTAGACGTTTGACTTGGACAAATCACCTGTATGTGAGTTAATGGTGGTTTACGTCGCCATCAGCAACAGTAGACAATTCTATCACGGCGCAGATGGTTGACAGCAGAAGTAACGGTCCAAGCCGGTGGGAACCATGGCAACAAAAGAGATGTGTCAAACACTGTCCATCCGATCCCCATTTGTGTCGGTGCTTACATAAGGCATGGGATTTGGGGATATTTTGCCACGGAATGTTGACGGAAATCCACAAAATGGAGGACATCCTCGATTATCCAAGGTATTGTATCTCCATTCTGTAATCGAGGATGACACTTAAATAAAGACACCTTCCATTATCTGGGATTCGAAGCCACGAGTGGGGATCCTTGCACAAAAGGTGGCAACCATTTGCAGCTGTGCCTAGGATTGTGCAAAGAGCCACCAGTGTTTCTTAAATATTAGGTAGACAAAGTGAACTCCAGTACCCGTGTCTTAAAACCCGACCCTGACATATAATTATTATGCCCCTTGTCTTTTTGTCTTAGCATCACCTGAGTCAAATGCTGTAGAGCCAAGATGATGTACCATTTCCCATTCGTGACAAACGCATCTCATTCCGGGACAAGCCGAATTGTAGTGTACGGAAACACCCGAGTGGTAACGAATGTACCGTTTCCGTGCCAAGCAGCAGTGAATTATCTCCCCTGGTCGGGTCCCGGGGCCTTGACAGAGGACCCGAACAAGTGCTGGGACGGGTAACTCGGGTACCCGGGTCGGGTGGGTACTGAGTAGGACCCGGGTACCCACAGGACGACCCGGACCCGTGGTTAGTCACGTGATATATTATTTAATGACAAAAACTCTATACAGCTCAGTCACTAATGTTCGCATTCCTTTCTGACAATGATCACATTCTTTCTGACTTTTCATATGGTTGAATAAAGATATCACTTAAGTCAACTTCAGTGTATGTATGACCAGATTGTTTAATCTAAATACGTTTTGCCAATCGGACCTTTTGTACCTTTCTCTTCAGACCTACAGTGGGTACCCGGGTAGGGTCGGTTAATAGGGGGGTGGGTACTCGGGTTGGAAATTTGGACTCATCCCAGCCATAACCCATCTAAACCCGACCGTAATCGATTACCCGAGCACCCGTCAAAACCCGAATACCAACCAATGGTAATAATATTGTTGTCACTTAACAATGATTTGTTTGTTCGCTTTTTTTTAACGCCACACTCAGCAATATTCCAGCTATATATGACAGCGGTCTGTAAATAATCGAGTCTGGACCAGACAATCCAGTGATTGATATCATGGACATCGATCTACGCATTTGGGATACGATGTCATGCATCAACCAAGTCAGCGAGCCTGACCACCCGATCCCGTTACTCGCCTCTTACGACAAACATAGTCGCCTCGTACGGCATGCTTTGTTTGCTGAAGACCTATTCTACACCGGGTCTTCACGGGTATACTTGGTAATGGTTATGTCGTACATTGAGAAAGACCCTGTCACAAGAGGCCATTCAACAAAGACAGTTTCAACGCCCGTGAAATTATATATTAAAACTGTAAGAATGTGACACAAGGTGCACCACTATTTCAGCCTGCCAAATCATGTTTACACCTAATACAAAAGCTTGGCCGCAGTGCAGTTACCACATTGTTTCCCATGCTGTAACCGAACACTCCTCGGGCCAGTGGGTGACAATGCCAGACTTCCAGTGTCTTTAAGTTCCCAGCAGTCCTCGGCTCGTTACGACACGCAACATGTGTCCTCATATCTCCCACCCGAAACAGACACACAGACACATGCATATTACCTATAACTGAGACCTATTTATCCAGATGTGTTATGCACATGTGAACTGCAAGCTTGTGGAAACGCCACAGAACCCTGTGAAAACCTAGGGTAAGTGTAAATAGATGCATACTCATGGTTTGTGTTATTGAGATCGTAACCTCAAGGTCATGCTTGAGTAGAAACAACTTGTGTCAGTTTGAGCGGCCATGTAAACAGTTACTGTAATTAAAATGATCACAATGTTAAATCAAATCTGACAACTGTGTACAGCTTAGCAGTCAATTATTCATTTTTTCAAATAAAAAGGACAATGAATATATCAGCAATACACAGAAGATGTTTAAAATATATAATTGATTTCTAGAGAATTGTTTTAAAGATCTCTCCTGTGCTATATCTATATGAGTGACCACAGGTTTTAGAACGTGTGTGATGCAGTTTTTCTTGGCCGTTGAATTATGGAGGTATGAGCCGCGTCATACCAAAAGACGTTAAAAGATGGTACTTGTTGTTACCCTGTCTGGCGCTCGGCATTAAGGGGCTAAAACAAGGGCTGGTCGGCAAGGAGTCAGTATACTGTGTCTGAGTGGGGTATTCATGTTAAACTGCGGCATGGTATCTCAGTGGGCTAGCACTATAAATCGGCATCAGTCCGGACTAGTACAAGCAGCCACACAAACACACAGACGTACATGCACGTCGCTATATAAGTGCAATAATCTTGGACGCGACGTTCAACCCAATTTCACCTCACCTTTTCTGACCATAATGCAGTATGGTCCCATTTTAATTCTGGAAACCCAAAAGTCCAGAAACTCTACGATCTTTTCCCAGTCTCGGTCAAAGGTATTTACAAAAATAAGCATGCTGTTTTCATGGGAACATACTAAGGAAGAAAAAATGGACGCTCTACCACTAGACCACGGAGGCGGCCCACTCTATTCTGAATACTGAACTGGCACTCAAACGGCACAGGCTCGTAAAATATGTCTTTTGTGTGAACTGTGCTGGGTGCCATGGCCAGGGAGACACAACCCTCACAGGAAGCCTAGCCTGGAAGGTTATCAGACACCCGTAATCAGTGACGTCAGTGAAGCAGTCTTTCCTGACTAATATGTGTTTTGTTCTCTACTGAGACCGAAGACGTTCCTGATTGTTTCAACGCTGATTTTTTACTAGATCTACATAGTGTGGGGCAACTTCATGTTTGTTTATTTAGGAGATACAGTTCTCAGTGAAGAGCTAGGTTACCTTACGCCGCTTTTAGCAATATTCCAGCAATATCACGGCGGGGACACCAGAAATGGGCTTCACACATGCATAGTACCCATGTCGGGAATCGAACCCGGGTCTGCGGCGTGACGAGCGAACGCTTGAACCACTAGGCTCCCCGACCGCCCCCTTGTGTGTGCGTGCGTGCGTGCGTGCGTGCGTGCGTGCGTGTGTGTGTGTGTGTGTGTGTAATTGTAGCCATGACCAGGGAGACACAACCCTCACAGGAAGCCTAGCCTGGAAGGTTATCAGACACCCGTAATCAGTGACGTCAGTGAAGCAGTCTTTCCTGACTAACATGTGTTTTGTTCTCTACTGAGACCGAAGACGTTCCTGATTGTTTCAACGCTGATTTTTTACTAGATCTACATACAAACTACAAACTTCGTGTTTGTTTATTTAGGAGATACAGTTCTCAGTGAAGAGCTAGGTTATCTATAAACTTAAACCAAGCGCGCAAATCGCATAGAAAACAAACGACTGTCTGTTTGTGGGGCGGTGGGGCAGTCTAGTGGTTAAAGCGTTCACTTGTCACGCCGAATACCCGGGTTTAGTTCTCCACATGGGTTCAGTGCGTGAAGCCCATATTTGGTGTCCACCACCATGATGTTCCGGAATAATAGCGGCGTAAAACCCAAATCAATCACTTGTATATTTGTGTCCGTCATCCTTCCAAATGATTTCTCGTTTTTATGTATGGTTTTGTTCGTCTTCAGGTCGCAGTCGCCACTGGCCGACATCTGTCTTGGTCACCGAGGACGTCCATGTGATCCGCCACGTCGTCATGTTGGCCCTGTCGCTGTTATTTTTCATCCTGTTTTCGAGGTCAAGGTCATTTCTCCCCAACAGATATGGAGGTATATGTATATTGGGGGGGTAGGTAGGCCCGTTTATGGTGTTCCCTGCCTTGATATTGCTGGAATATTGCTAAAAGCAGCGTACTCACTCATTTACTGAACAATTGACCCCAATCCAATACCTTCTTTTTTGTTCTCCTCCATGGCATAATTTGTAATGATGTTGATATATTATTAATGTCTTTTGAAAATACAAGTATGTTTTTGTTGTATTTTGTCCAAGTAAGGGTAAATGCCGCTTAATGAGCATTTCAAATCACAGTAAACAACTGTTTCAGTCATATCACAGTGGGACAAGTGGAGTCAATAGCCTTGTCCAAGGAAAGGACACAGTCATTTGCATGACATTTCATCTTGAAATGGAAGGTTTGAAATGATTATCAATGTCTATCATGCTCACGTCTCGATGTCAAAGATTATGGCTTTGCTCACGAAATACTCCGTATTGATGAGGATGTCCATATTGCGGTCGAGGCCATTTTGAGGATGAGTTGAGATTTGTTTTCAAGCAGATGGAGGCCGTGTTTTTAAACAAAAAAGGGTCAAGTGGTATATCACATATATGCAAGTTCAAGGGTATGTCAAAGATATGTAACTATGTTCAAGGGTATATCACAGATATGTTAAGTTTAAGGGTATATCACAGATATGTAACTATGTTCAAGGGCATATCACAGATATGTAACTATGTTCAAGGGCATTTCACACATATGTAACTATGTTCAAGGGCATATCACACATATGTAACTATGTTCAAGGGCATATCACAGATATGTTAAGTTCAATGGTATATCACAGATATGTAACTATGTTCAAGGGCATATCACAGATATGCTAAGTTCAAGGGCATATCGCAGATATGTAACTATGTTCAAGGGCATATCGCAGATATGTAACTATGTTCAAGGGCATATCACAGATATGTAACTATGTTCAAGGGCATATCACAGATATGTAACTATGTTCAAGGGCATATCACAGATATGTAACTATGTTCAAGGGCATATCACAGATATGTAAGTTCAAAGGGGATGTCACAGTTACCTAAGGTCAAGGGTATATCACAGATATGTTAGTTCAAAGGGTATGTCAAAGTTACCTAAGGTCAAGGGTATATCAAAGATATGTAAGTTCAAAGGGTATGTCACAGATATGTAAGTTCAAAGGGGATGTCACAGATATGTTAGTTCACAGGGTATGTCAAAGATATGTAAGTTCAAAGGGGATGTCACAGTTACCTAAGGTCAAGGGTATATCACAGATATGTAAGTTCAAAGGGTATGTCACAGATATGTAAGTTCAAAGGGTATGTCACAGTCACGTAAGGTCAAGGGTATATCACAGATATGTTAGTTCACAGGGTATGTCACAGATATGTAACTATGTTCAAGGGTATATCACAGATATGTAAGTTCAAAGGGGATGTCACAGATATGTTAGTTCACAGGGTATGTCACAGATATGTAAGTTCAAAGGGTATGTCACAGTTACCTAAGGTCAAGGGAATATCACAGATATGTAAGTTCACAGGGTATGTCACAGATATGTTACTAGGTATATCAAGGATATGTTAGGTCAAGGGTATATCAAGGATATGTTAGTGCACAGGGTATGTCGAAGATATGTAAGTTCAAAGGGTATGTCACAGTTACGTAAGGTCAAGGGTATATCACATATATGTAAGTTCACAGGGTATGTCACAGATATGTTACTATGTTCAAAGGTATATCAAGGACATGTAAGGTCAAGGGTTTATCAAGGATATGTAAGCTCAAGGGTATATCAAGGATATGTAATGTCAAGGGTATATCAAGGATATTTAAGGTCAAAGATATGTCAGAAATATGTAACGTTAAGGGTATATCACAGTTATGTTGGTTCAAGGGTATATCACAGATATGTAAGGTCAAAGGGTATGTCACAGATATGTAAGGTCAAGGGTATGTCACAGATATGTAAGGTCAAGGGTATGTCACAGATATGTAAGTTCAAGGGTACATCACAGATATGTAAGGTCAAGGGCATATCTCAGATATGTAAGTTCACAGGGTATGTCACAGATATGTAAGGTCAAGGGTATATCAAGGATATGTAAGGTTAAAGATATGTCAGAAATATGTAACGTTAAGGGTATATCACAGTTATGTTGGTTCAAGTGTATATCACAGATATGTAAGGTCAAAGGGTATGTCACAGATATGTAAGGTCAAAGGGTATGTCACAGAAATGTAAGGTCAAGGGTATGTCACAGATATGTAAGGTCTAGGGTATGTCACAGATATGTAAGGTCAAGGGTATATCAGATATATTAGGTCAAGGGCATATCACGGATATGTAAGGTCAAGCGTGTATCACAGTTATGTAAGGTCAAGGGCATATCACAGATATGTTAGTTCACAGGGTATATCACAGATATGTTACTATGTTCAAGGGCATATGACAAATATGCAAGGTCAAGGGTATATCAAGGATATGCAAGGTCAAGGGTATATGAAGGATGTGTAAGGTCAAGGGTATATAAAGGATATGCAAGGTCAAGGGTATATCAAGGATGTGTAAGGTCAAGTGTATATCACAGTTATGTAAGGTCAAGGGTATATCACAGATATGTAAGGTCAAGGGTATATCACAGATATGTAAGGTCAAAGGGTATATCACAAATATGTACTGTCAAGGGGTATGTCACCGATATGTAAGATCACAGTTAGCAGTGCCAGTTGATCATCTCTTCAATATTTGTGTTCCAGAACTGCAAGCAGCCAACATTGATCCGGCATTTATCGGGGAGACGGTGTTGTTTACATGTGTCATCACAGACGACAGTTTGCCTGTCAACTCCTCCGCTATCTGGATACGACGCTCGAACTCCAACACCTCTGTCGGTAGCGTTGTGAACCGGACGGCGACGTCGGCAACGATAGAGGTGAAGGTGAAGTCTCTCTCTGACGCCGGCGTCTACTACTGCACCCTGACCATCCCGGGCGAGCATCTCGACGTCACTTTTGTTATCGTTGCTGTAGAATGTGAGTAATGGTTATATAAACTAGTGTGTGTGTGTGGCTACTTGTACAAGTGCGGACTGATGCCAATTTATAGTGCCAGCCCACTGAGATACCATGCCGCAGTTTAACTTGAATACACCACTCAGACACAGTATACTGACTCCTTATTTTAGCCCCTCAATGCCGGGCGCTAGAAAGGGTAACAACAAGTACCATCTTTTAACGTCTTTTGGTATGACGCGGTCGGGGATCGGGTGGACGTTCTATCACTAGACCACGTAGGCGGCCCACTCTATTCTGAATACTGAACTGGTACTTAAACGGCACATGCTCGTAAAATATGTCTTTTGTGTGAACTGTGCTGGATGCCATGACCAGGGAGACACAACCCTCACAGGAACATGATTACCTGCACATGTCTTAACAACATAGATAAAAACAATCTCATATTCGAGCAAGTTTCCAAATGTATTTCATCATGCGATCGCCTAGACTGGAAGGTTATCAGACACCCGTAATCAGTGACGTCAGTGAAGCAGTCTTTCCTGACTAATATGTGTTTTGTTCTCTACTGAGACCGAAGACGTTCCTGATTGTTTCAACGCTGATATTTTACTAGATCTACATAGTGTGGGGCAACTTCATGTTCGTTTATTTAGGAGATACAGTTCTCAGTGAAGAGCTAGGTTACCTTACGCCGCTTTTAGCAATATTCCAGCAATATCACGGCGAGGACACCAAAAATGGGCTTCACACATAGTACCCATGTCGGGAATCGAACCCGGGTCTGCGGCGTGACGAGCGAACGCTTGAACCACTAGGCTCCCCGACCGCCCCCTTGTGTGTGTGCGTGCGTGCGTGCGTGCGTGCGTGCGCGTGTGTGTGTGTGTGTAATTGTAGCTGCTTGTACTAGTCCGGAGTGAAACCGATTTATAGTGCTAGCTCACTGAGATACCATGCCGCAGTTTAACATGAATACCCCACTCAGACACAGTCCGAGCCGACCAGTCCTTGTTTTAGCCCATTAATGCCGAGCGCCAGACAGGGTAACAACAAGTACTATATTTCGTTATGACGCGGCCGGGGTTCGAACCTCGGACCTTCCGGGCGGACGCTTTACCACTAGATCACGGAGGCGGTCAGTACCGAAATAAAGCATCATGTCTCCTATTCTCTGAGTTTCGCCACAGTGTGAACTATCTCAGTGTTCACCTATGGAACGGTATCTATTGGTCCATTTCAGCTCAAGGTAATGCCGTATTCGACGTAATAAGCGCTCAGGGTGCTCCCAAAATTAGAAATTATTAGAAAATTACTTTGAGTTGCAAATTAATTTCGTGGTTTATGCTCACAGCCTGAAATGTTTATGTACGACAGACATATTTTTTGCCAGAATTTAATTGCCCATAATTAAGGGTGCACATAGCACACGAGTGCGTATTATACGCGACAAAATAAGTCTTGTGTACATTGATCAATCGGAAGGGGTGCCAATTGGGATTGTACACTAGCCAATATATTAGCAAATATCGCCGTGGGCGCTTATTAGAGCGGGGGTTTTATTACGTCGAATACGGTACTGTTTCCTGAGGAAACTGTTGCAAACTGTTTTGATCTTTGATCTCAGCACCATAACCGTGGGTTTCACCAAAGTGGAAGTCGAAGACTTGCAACACGCTGAGCTTTTCACAAAAAACATTACGTTGACACGTCGTGGCATGGCTGAAATACTGATAAAATGGGCGTCATATACTCACCCACCCACTCACTCTCTTGCAGACCCCCTTGCCCCAGTCACGGACCTTAACTGCACGGTGCTCCCGGGGAGTACCAAACTGGAGTGTGAATACACCCTGCCCCGCCCCTACATGTACCCTGATGCCATCGTTGGATGTGTGTTCTACCACCCAAGGTAAGATAACCACGTGTACCATTGCGTAAGGGCTGTTGTCGGTCATGGGTAGGCCCGACTTCCATTCCCCATAATACGTTAAAGAAGCTTTGCCGGATACCATTAACCTGTCATTAAACCCAATACGTCTGATAATATGAGATTTAATGGCCCAGTCGTCTAAGGCGCCGCGATTAGCTGTGCAGAGTTGCGTCCCTTGGGCACGCCAGAAACCTATGATTGTGGGTTCGAATCCTGGTTCGCCCCGATTATGTTTCTAGGTTTGTCAGCACCATACCCGTGCTCATGGGTTTCACCGAAGTGGTAAACGTCTGAGACCTGCATCACTTCGGGCTTTCCTCCAAAATTAAGCTGACACGCCGTGATATAACTGGAATAGTGTTAAAAGCGGCGTTAAACCCAACTCACTCACTCACTCACTTTATGCCTATGAATCGGAAGTTCTGTTCGGATTTCAAAGCCAAAACAAGGCAATTTGGCCAAGAAGTTTAACTTAAGCTTCAGGTATATCGATGATCTAATATCGTTCAAGTACAAGTAACCAATTCCCTTTCACAAATTTACGTACCTGGGTTTAAAGGAGACTGTGCGACAACCTCGTCTGTTGGTTGGTTGGTTTGTTTGTTGTTGAACGCCACTCAGCAATATTCCAGCTATATGACGGCCGTCTGTAAATAATCGAGTCTGGACCAGACAATCCAGTCATTGATATCATGAGCATCGATCCACGCAATTGGGATCAATGACATGCATCAACCAAATCAGCGAGCCTGACCACCCGATTAGTCGCCTCTTACGACAAGCATAGTCGCCTTTTACGGCAAGCATGGGTTGCTGAAGACCTAATCTACCCCATCTTCCCGAGGCAAGTGAGTTAACTGACTATAAAAGTCCAGTTTCCACCCTTGCCGAACTAGGCTGGTATTATGGAGTTACATTTTGGCTGGACTAACGAGTCTATGCATAGTCCAATCAAAATCGCGCACTGAAATCGAAATCCGGTTCGTAAAGTGTCATGCACGCTGGTGGCGCTACGATCGAGCCCAGGAATTCCAGCCTAGTTCGGCAAGGATGGAAACTGGACTTTTCAAGTCAGTTACCTCTCTTGCCTCGGGAAGATGATTCTACCCCGGAATCTTCACGGGTCCAACCTCGTCTGTGTCATGTTTAGATCTATGCATAAAGATTCAGTGACAAAACACTCTCCGCAAGACTGTATGACAAGAGGGATGACTTTTGCTTTCCAATATTACCAATCATCGTTCCGTTTATGTCGGACCACCTCCGGGGTCCAGTGGTAGAGCGTCCACTCGGAGAGCGGAATGTCGTGGATTCGATCCCTGACCGCGTCATACCAAAAGACGTTTAAAGATGGTACTTGTTGTTACCCTGTCTGGCGCTCGGCATTAAGAGGCTAAAACAAGGACTGGTCGGCAAGGAGTCAGTATACTGTGTCTGAGTGGGGCATTCATGTTAAACTGCGGCATGGTATCTCAGTGAGCTAGAACTATAAATCGGCATCAGTCCGGACTAGTACAAGCAGCCACAATTACACACACACACGCGCGCGCACGCACGCACGCACGCACGCACACACACACGGGGGCGGTCGGGGAGCCTAGTGGTTAAAGCGTTCGCTCGTCACGCCGCAGACCCGGGTTCGATTCCCGACATGGGTACTATGTGTGAAGCCCATTTCTGGTGTCCCCGCCGTGATATTGCTGGAATATTGCTAAAAGCGGCGTAAAACCAAACTCACTCACTCACTCACTCACACATACACAAGATGTTTGATCAAGGCTGCAGCATTCAAGGATTTAGTAAAGCTTTCAAACAGTTTATTGGAAGACATGTGAAGAACATTTCCAAAAGTTTGATTTGTACCATATGTTCGCGGTTTTGATAAATAAATGATAATGATTCTTAAACCATATGTGCATGAGTAAGTCGGAATCGTGCAATCGACTCTAATTTTCGGCTTATATTTATTGACACGTTAATAGAAAGTAGATTAATTAATAGAAAGATTACAGTTACAATGTTTAGCCATATCATTACGAACCCGTGAAGATCCGGGGTAGAATTGGTCTTCAGCAACACATGCTTGCTGTGAAAGGCGACTATGCTTGTCGTAAGAGGCGACTAACGGGATCGGGTGGTCAGGCTCGCTGACTTGGTTTGATGCATGTCATCGTGTCCCAATTGCGTGGATCGATGCTCATCATGCCAGTCACTGGATTGTCTGGTCCAGACTCGATTATTTACAGACCGCCGTCATATAGCTTGAATATTGCTGAGTGTGACGTTAAACAACATACAAATAAACAAACATATCATTACGTTTGTTCCAGAACTCAATATGGAATCTGCCCTTAGTTAGTTAGAAAGTGTCTACAGCAAGTGTTTCATCATCAGAATTACATAGCGTTGTATAACTTTTCATATTGGACTTTCAGTAATTACACAGAGTTACAAACCATTTGCTACAATGGCACCGACAGAAACTTTTCTTTGTCAGAGGGACACGATCTGTTTTTGTACTACATTTTTGCAATTCGGCTACAGTACAACGGAAGAAAAGTGTCCAAGATGTCGAAGAATTTTTCTGTTGTTCCCATGGAAGTGGGTAGGTATAGCTGAAATGCTCTTAGAAACACGCCATACATCTGCAAACATGGTCGTTCTTCCATATGGTTGTCTTTCAAGGTCAACGCGACTACTTGCATAGTTTCAACTTACTTGTAAATATCTTTGACCCAATCTCATTAAAATCAGACCTCAGTTCTCGCTACCGTTAAACAAAGATCTGAGGACATCCCATTACGGGTCATGTCAGAACGACCTTTTATCCGACCAATCAGAGCATCGCTTCCCAGACTATGAACGTGACAGTCGGAATGTGATTTCTGATCATGCAGCCTCGAAAACTTTAACTCCGAACGATAGTTACGGGTTTAACGACTGTATCCATACGATCTAGACCATCTATTAGCCATTCCAGAATAATCTTTTGTTCAGGTTTAAAATTTGTAATCGAGAATTTGTCAAAATACGTTTCGAAGCGTAGTCGTCAATTTGAAATTAGTGCCGTAAAGCACGAGAAAGCTGCCTTCTGATTGGTCATTCCATTGGTCGGTCAAATTTCGCGCAAGGTCGGTCTGACGTGACCCGTAATGGGATGTCCTCACATCTTTGTTTAGCGGTAGCGAGAACTAAGATCTGATTTCAATGAGATTGCTTTTGACCCAGTAGCATTTGATGGTAACCAAGCTTGCCATGCATGCCTTCTTAGGCAAGGTCTGTGGTTGAGGGTAAGGCCAAGGTCACCAGAATTGAAAAAGACAATGATCTAGGATAAGGTTTGGATAAAGTTTGCTTCATTGCTAAAATATAACAACATATGCGTGTATTTCTTCATTTATGCGCCGGTACCCCTGGTTGTGGATCGGTCTCCCTGGAGATACCGCGGTATCGAGTGTGTTACCAAATACCTTGTTTTTTTTATTTGTAGTCATCCCACCGCCAGTCGAAAATGTTAACGTCAAGGAAAGGAGGGCCACACGTCTCCAGTTGTCGTGGAAAGAACTCGATGCTCACATTGCATACATATACCGGGTCACGTACGCTGCTGTGTGGCGAAACGAGAAACAGGTGAACCCGCACAACGGAAGCAGGCTTTTTCCAAAATATATTAAAAAATAATTGAAAACAAATGCGAGTTATGTATTTTTCTTATCACTGTTGGCTTCTGAATCCATAAGAAAAATCTAATGTATAACATTTTTGAACAATGTTTCGAGTGATTGTTTTATTTTATTGTTTTTAAAATTCGATTGTTTATGTCAGAATGGGACATTATGTGCATTGGATTGTAATAAAATGGAGACTACTCCAGTCTAGTGAAACAACATCAATTAAATTCTATGTTACCCCTCTCAACAATACCTGTGATCCACGTTTAAAATGTGAAAACATGACTGACTTCTAATTTTCAAAACTAAAACTTCTGACGCAAACAATCATTATTTAAATGTGTATTTATACCCATAGACGCAAAAAATATTCATGTAGTAAGACTTATATTCACAAATCAGAACCGTATATCCCCATGTGTGTTTGGATTCATGATAGCTACAATCTTCTATCTCAGATTTCCACAGTGCAGACAAACTCAACCACTATCCTCTTGCGGGAACTAACACCATTCACCAACTACTCGGTCTTAGTTCAAGGCCGAGAACTTAAACTGCTGGCAGGATACTGGAGCCAGGGAGACCCGGTCACTGTCAGGACGCTGGACGATGGTAGGTTGAGGGTCAAGGTGATGGCGGTAGGTGTGGTTGAGGGTCAAGGTGACTGTGTTAGGTGTGGTTGAGGGTCAAGGTGACTGTGTTAGATGTGGTTGAGGATCAAGGTGATGGTGTAAGGTGTTGATTGTGAGTCAAGGTGACGGCGGTAGGTGTTGTTGAGGGTCAAGGTGACGGCGGTAGGTCTGATTGTGAGTCAAGGTGACGGCGGTAGGTGTTGTTGAGGGTCAAGGGGACGGAGGTAGGTGTGGTTGAGGTTCAAGGTGACAGAGGTAGGTGTGATTGTGAGTCAAGGTGACGGCGGAAGGCGTGATTGTGAGTCAAGGTGACGGCGGAAGGCGTGATTGTGAGTCAAGGTGACGGCGGTAGGCGTGATTCAGGTGCAAGGTGACAGCGGTAGGTATGATTGTGAGTCAAGGTGACAGCGGTGGGTGTGATTGAGGGTCAAGGTGACGGCAAAAGGCGTGATTGTGAGTCAAGGTGACAGCGGTAGGCGTGATTCAGGTGCAAGGTGACAGCGGTAGGTGTGGTTGTGAGTCAAGGTGACGGCGGTAGGCGGGATTCAGGTGCAAGGTGACAGCGGTAGGTATGATTGTGAGTCAAGGTGACAGCGGTGGGTGTGATTGAGGGTCAAGGTGACGGCAGAAAGCGTGATTGTGAGTCAAGGTGACAGCGGTAGGCGGGATTCAGGTGCAAGGTGACAGCGGTAGGTGTGGTTTTGAGTCAAGGTAACGGCGGTAGGTGTGATTGTGAGTCAAGGTGACGGCGTTAGGTGTGATTGTGAGTTAAGGTGACACCGGTAGGTGTGATTGGGGGTCAAGGTGACGGCGGTAGGTGTGGTTGAGGGTCAAGGTGACAGAGGCAGATGTGATTGAGAGTCAAGCGGACGTCGGTAGGTCTGCTTGAGAGACATGGTGACGACAGAATGTATGATTGTGATGTTGTCAAGACGTTGATTGCTGGTATGTGAGCAGAGACTACACTAGTTGATGGATTTGATGGGTTGATTTCCATTCCCAATAAGTTTAGTTTTTGTCTTCACTTACAGTTCCAGGGAGCTCACCACGGGTGTCACCTGCCGTGTCTAGAACTGATGGAGGGAGTGTTGTCGTGTACTGGCAGGTAGATAGATACCAGGGTCTCGTTCAGCAAAGTGATCACAGCGCTCTCGGCAAACGCAAACCAATTTCAAAGAATGGGATGTATGATGACCGGAGCGCTATTACAAATTAGATACCTCTATCAGGAAAAGCAAAAACTCCAGATGGGTTTGAGTTTCATCACAAACATCAGAATTTACAAAATTCCCCCCAAAACATTTAATCGTGTCACCATTGGGTGAGTTTGATAGGAACAAGGTGTATGGGGTCACTAAAATTATAAATATGAATATGACATCAATATGTCTACAGCCTCTGTCGCCTAAGGAGGAGAATGGGGAGATGCAAGGCTACCACGTGCAGTGTGGAGATGAGGGGGAGAGACGTGTTGGTCCCGGGGGGTTCTCTGAGACGTTGGACACCCCCACTGAACGGCGTGGACTGTGGTGTGACGTGTACGCGGTCAACAGCGTCGGAAAGTCGCCCTCGTCATCTCTGTATATACCATCACGGAGGTCAGGTATGAACACGTGGTCTCTGTATATACCATCACGGAGGTCAGGTTAGAACACGTGGTCTCTGTATACACCATCACGGAGGTCAGGTTAGACCACGTGGTCTCTGTATACACCATCACGGAGGTCAGGTTAGACCACGTGGTCTCTGTATACACCATCACGGAGGTCAGGTAAGAATACGTGGTCTCTGTATATACCATCAAGGAGGTTAGGTTAGACCACGTGGTCTCTGTATATACCATCAAGGAGGTGAGGTTAGACCACGTGGTCTCTGTACCATAACCTATATTAATAGGTCTTCAGCAACCCATGCTTGCCGTAAAAGGCAACTATGCTTGTTGTAAGAGGCGACTAACGGGATCGGGTGATCAGGCTCGTATCCCAATTGCTCGGATCGATGCTGATGATGTCAATAACTGGATTGTCTGGTCCAGTCGATTATTTACAGCCCGTCGTCATACAACAGGAATCTTGTTGAGTGTGGCGTTAAACAACAAGAAAGAAAGCAACAAACAAACAATAATACCGATAGTTTTCAATGGCAATCTTCCATTGCGACTGTTGATGAAGAGGTAGGGTGGCCAGTGTAATGGTGTGCCCCCAGTGAATGTATCTACATGTAGGATTGCTGTATTGCAGAGCTGACCTCCCGGGACTTCTGGGTGGTGGGTGGGGAGGGGGACACCAACATCACCTTCCTCTGGGACTCTGTGGGTCGGGAACAACACAACTGTGCAGCGTATTGGTGTCAAGCAGCAGGCCAGGCCGACATGTGCCAGGTAAGCAGCACAACCTGACACAATAACACAACACAGGGTGACATCGGATAGAAAGTCATCTATGTGCCACCTGTTATCAATTACTTGTTATTAATGTTAATTTGCTCATCACAACATATTATGCATACATACCTCTCTTCACTTGGTTGTAGCCACTCCCGATTGATAACGGTGCACACCACTGTAAAGTACAGCACACCACTGTAAAGTACAGCACACCACTGTAACGTACAGCACGCCACTGTAAAGTACAGCACACCACTGTAACGTACAGCACACCACTGTAAAGTACAGCACACATATGTAAAGTACAGCACCCATATGTAAAGTACAGAACACCACTGTAAAGTACAGCACACATATGTAAAGTACAGCACGCCACTGTAAAGTACAGCACACCACTGTAAAGTACAGCACACCACTGTAAAGTACAGCACACCACTGTAAAGTACACCACACATATGTAAAGTACAGCACACATATGTAAAGTACAGTACACCACTGTAAAGTACAGCACACCACTGTAAAGTACAGCACACATATGTAAAGTACAGCACACATATGTAAAGTACAGCACACCACTGTAAAGTACAGCACACATATGTAAAGTACAGCACAGCACTGTAAAGTACAGCACACATATGTAAAGTACAGCACACATATGTAAAGTACAGCACACCACTGTAAAGTACAGCACGCCACTGTAAAGTACAGCACACATATGTAAAGTACAGCACACCACTGTAAAGTACAGCACACATATGTACAGCACAGCACAGCACTGTAAAGTACAGCACACATATGTAAAGTACAGCACAGCACTGTAAAGTACAGCACACATATGTAAAGTACAGCACACATATGTAAAGTACAGCACAGCACTGTAAAGTACAGCACAGCACTGTAAAGTACAGCACACCACTGTAAAGTACAGCACACCACTGTAAAGTACAGCACGCCACTGTAAAGTACAGCACACCACTGTAAAGTACACCACACCACTGTAAAGTACAGCACACATATGTTAAGTACAGCACACCACTGTAAAGTACAGCACAGCACTGTAAAGTACAGCACGCCACTGTAAAGTACAGCACACCACTGTAAAGTACACCACACATATGTAAAGTACAGCACGCAACTGTAAAGTACAGCACGCCACTGTAAAGTACAGCACACCACTGTAAAGTACAGCACGCCACTGTAAAGTACAGCACACCACTGTAAAGTACAGCACACATATGTAAAGTACAGCCCACACATGTAAAGTACAGCACGCCACTGTAAAGCACAGCACAGCACTGTAAAGTACACAACACCACTGTAAAGTACAGCACAGCACACATATGTAAAGTACAGCACACATATGTAAAGTACAGCACGCCACTGTAAAGTACAGCACACCACTGTAAAGTACAGCACACATATATAAAGTACAGCACGCCACTGTAAAGTACAGCAAACCACTGTAAAGTACAGCACACATATGTAAAGTACAGCACACCACTGTAAAGTACAGCACGCCACTGTAAAGTACAGCACATCACTGTAAAGTACAGCACGCCACTGTAAAGTACAGCACACCACTGTAAAGTACAGCACACCACTGTAAAGTACAGCACAGCACACATATGTAAAGTACAGCACACATATGTAAAGTACAGCACACATATGTAAAGTACAGCACACCACTGTAAAGTACAGCACACATATGTAAAGTACAGCAAACATATGTAAAGTACAGCACACATATGTAAAGTACAGCACACATATGTAAAGTACAGCACACCACTCTTAAGTACAGCACACATATGTAAAGTACAGCACGCCACTGTAAAGTACAGCCCACATATGTAAAGTACAGCACACCACTGTAAAGTACAGCACACCACTGTAAAGTACAGCACACCACTGTAAAGTACAGCACGCCACTGTAAAGTACAGCACACATATGTAAAGTACAGCACACCACTGTAAAGTACAGCACACATATGTAAAGTACAGCACACCACTGTAAAGTACAGCACACATATGTAAAGTACAGCACACATATGTAAAGTACAGCACACCACTGTAAAGTACAGCACACATATGTAAAGTACAGCACACCACTGTAAAGTACAGCACGCCACTGTAAAGTACACCATAGCACTGTAAAGTACAGCACAAGTCAACACAATGATATATCCTTGGCTAGCAGATGTACCTCATGTGTCTTTGCCTGAAAACAGTGCAGTTTAAACATATCTACGGAGAAGCATTTTATGCGTGCAGGTCCAGTGTTTGTATTGGAGGTGTTCAACTTTCAGACCCCTGTCCAGTGGGAGACCGTGACATGTGACCAACAGAGTCTGACTCTCGATACCGGTCACGTGATAACTGACCAACGCCTTATGGTTGGCTTCTCAGAACAGTTGTCTGCCCCTGGAGGTCTTAACTGGAGCCCTATCAAGTGGCAGTATTGCATCTATGCCCCACACAAAGGTAGGGTATTTTATGATAATTGTATTTTCTTGTCAAATACATTTGTTTTAAAATTTAAAATTTCTTGAGTGGAACAGTACCGCTGGTCATAAAAGAATGCTTGAGTTAATGTCCTATTTGATATGCATTGGGTGTCCGGTAGGATGAGTGGTTGTAAACCTTCTAGCGCCTAACAGGCAGCTTGGGTTGTATACTCCCCAGGAAGCTGAAAACGATTCTTGAGTGCACACTGAGGAAGTGCCTGGGGTAATAACGGAGATTTGAGCATGCCCCTGATGTGGAAATATCCGCATAGCCTAGTATTATAATTCATCAGAAGGGGTCCTCATCCACCACAGAACCGCCCAGCTGGAAGCCGCACTGAGGGGAGAGTCGCAACGCCAGTGACGTCATTAGGCGGCTGGCGACGTTGACGAGTGCACTGGTGCTCGTGGTGGTCATTTTCTCGCTGCTCATTAGGGGCGGTGGTGTAGCCTAGTGGTTAAAGCGTTCGCTCGTCACGCCGAAGACCCGGGTTCGATTCCCAACATGGGTAGTACCGTACAATGTGTGAAGCCGACTCCGTGTCCCCCAACGTGATATTGCTGGAATATTGCTAAATGCGGCGTAAAACCATACTCACTCACTCTGCGCATTACTTTGTACAGTGAACTTGCGACCACCATGTTCCTTGAGACGCCATATGAATATGTCGCCCAATATACCCGTATCAAATACTTCACCATCGAATAACTATTTCTTATTTGTCCGTCAGTTTATAGCGTGGCATGACTTGTTTAATACATACCGTTGCAGTCCCTCCCGCCCCCGATGAATTCCAACTGTCCCCGAATCAGCCCCCACTGGGTGTACATGTGGTATGGAGACCCCCCGACTGTCGACAGAAAACCGCCCACATCACCAACTACATCGTCTCCTATTGTCTGGTACCTACGGCTGCAGGCAACTGCTCAGGTGAACTTTGTGTGGTATTCAGGAACTGTTCAGGTGAGCTTTGTATGGTGTTCAGGAACTGTTCAGGTGAGCTTTGTGTGCCGTTAAGGAACTGTCCAGGTGACTTTTGTGTTGAGTTCGGGAACAGTTCAGGTGAGCTTTAGGTGGCGTTCAGGAACAGTTCAGGTGAGCTTTGGGTGGCGTTCAGGGACTGTTCAGGTGAGCTTTGCGTGGTGTTCAGGAATTGATCAGGTGAGCTTTGTGTGGTGTTCAGAAGCTGTTCAGGTGTGCTTTGTGTGGCGTTTAGGAACTGTTCAGATGACCTTTGTGTGGCGTTCAGGTGAGCTTTGTATGACTTTGTTATGATGAAGATGTTTACAGTCTGCATGGTGCTGGAACAAAGCATCATTATCTAGACGAATTTTGGATTGGAACCCACGGTCAGCATGCTGACTATGGCATGGATAATTGTCGCAACTCCATATGATGTGGCATCATAAAGAACTGGGTCATAGAACCTATCTGGTGTTACTAAAAATTGTGTTTCATAACGGTGTGAAACCCTTCACAGGCTCCAGTGGGACCAGAGTTGTGGACGGAGATGCGGTCAGCTACCTCATCAGCGACCTTGAACCTGGAGCTGATTATAAGGTCAACATCCGGGCGGTGTCCCAGGTCCTCCAAGGTCCTTGGAGTACTCCTGTCATAGGACGAGTCGAGGACGGTAAGACTATCCTGTGATACTGTAATGTGTAATTAAATACTACCATTTGTCTTTGACAAAGACGACAATGTGTTAAACGCGATCTTTTTCAGGAGTAGTGAGTTAGCCCTAAAGGTTTAAAGCCTTAGCCTGTGACGCCTAGCATGTATGCAACGGCACAAACTCTAACGCTCTTACTCACTTACCACATCAATGATTGATAGTGGAAGCATCACTTTATACGTGTATCACACATACACTGTATAAGGGTAAACCAGTTAAGTCTTATTCTAACCTCAGAACACAGTTTATGTCAAAATATTTGGTATTTTAGTATTAAGAATCACAGCTCTCCCTATAATAAGCGGATTAACTTTTCAAATTATTTTTATCAGAACAAAGATCAACTCGAATTGTAAGTAAGGGATTAAGGAATTACGTTCACGTTTTCTGAATATTAAATCTTCAGTTCACTTAGTTCAAAGGAAGATTGATCAAATCTTGTATCTTTGATTTTGTTACAGCAGCTAATCCTCTGAAGATAATACTGGCTGTCACCGGTTGTTTTATATTCGTCCTCGTCACCTCTTCATGTTTCATCGTCGTTAAGAGGTAAAGTTTCACAGATGTATTTACAAGTTGGGAGCCAATGAGGACATGCCACGTTCTAGTAACAACTGGGGGCACGGGTATATCCAGCTAACTATCGAAGATCCGGGATATAATAGGTCTCTAGCAACCCATGCTTGCCGTAAAAGGCGACTAACGGGATCGGGTGGTAAGGCTCGCTGACTTGGTTGATGAATGTCATCTATCCCAATTGCGTGGATCGATTTTCATGATGTCAATCACAGGATTGTCTGGTCCAGACTCCATTATTTACAGACCGCCGTCATACAGCTGGAATATTGCTGAGCGCGGCGTTAAAAAACAAACAAACAAACAAACATATCACAAACTATCCCCAACAGTGTCAATATTGGTTGTACCCATCCAGGCCATCAAATGTGTACCAGCCGCTGGAGGGAATGCTCACACTTCCAACAGAGTGACTGCCATCGCCATATTTTTGAGAAATAATCGACTCATGGTCGTTGTTTATCGTACAATATTTTTTTAATTTGACGTTTTCACGATATACGGCTTTTCCATTGGACGAGCGGTAGGTCACATGACCGCGATATTGACGTTCATAAGTATGCGGGGAGTATAAAGCATAAGGGGCCCACCCCGAGTAGTTTACTTCCTGCATTGTGTTATTGTACGATAAAAACGACCACGAGTCGTTTATTTCTTGTATAAGATATCAACATTATGTACAGTCTCTTTACGGATGTTAAAAAAATGTACAAGCTTACAAAATATTTACACAAATTTTAACAATGATGTCAGGTGGACAGGTGGGTTAAGTTTGGTATTTCCCACATATTCTCACAATCCGTACGTCGATTATCTGTACCTTTTCTCCAAATACTGATTGTCATATCTCTCCCATTCTTGGATGCGATCGTTCGGCCACTGCGTTTATCTGCGTAGCTCAGCTATATCTGTAGGGAACAACTTCCTAGACACTTCCCTCTCTAAAATAACGTCGTCCAATATATGATGTCATCATCGAATCTCCAGAAATGACGTCATGATAGAACAATATGTTTATCGTGGAATAAACCACGATTTGTTCTTCATCGTTCTTTCCGATTTATCACGTCGCGATCTTATATTTAAGAAATAAGACGAGTCGGAGTTCAATAAAACACTGCAGGGAGAATAAACCATGATTGGCGGAGCAGTTCAGTGTTTTATTGGACGATAAAACGACCACGAGTCGTATATTTCTTATATGAGATATCAACATCATGTACGGCCTATTTAAGGATGTTGATAAAATGTACAAGCTTTGAAAATATTTACCTAATGGGACGTCATGACAGAACAGTATTTTATCGTGAAATATATCAGGCTTCGTTCTTCTTGTTCTTTACGATTTATCGCGTAGCTTTCTTATATAATCGCATACAGTCTGCATCTTGTTGTGGCAAATGTCAAATGTTCTGGACATTTTGTCGAATGGCAGTTGTCAATTTCCAAATAGACTAGTGGTGGCTTATCAAATTGGAACCACTAGTGTGGAACAATTCTGGGCCTTGCAGCACTTTGCACCGGCGTGTTGTTACCTGAATGTACACTGCCTTAATACATCCTCTTCAACCTGTGAAGATACGGGGTAGAATATGTTTTCAGCAACCCATGCTTGCCGTAAAAGGCGACTATGCTTGTCGTAAGATGCGACTAACGGGATCGGGTGGTCAGGCTCGCTGACTTGCTTGATGAATGTCATCAATCCCATTTACGTGAATCGATGTTCATGAAATCAATCACTGGATTGTCTGGTCCAGACACGATTATTTACAGACCGCCGTCGTATAGCTTGAATATTGCTGAGTGCGGCGTTAAACAACAAACCAACCAACCAATATCCTCATTTCAGGCCCAAGTATCAAGCTTTTTCCTGAATGCATCAACTGTTTCAATTTCAGGGCAAGATCTTCATGGACGAAAGGACATAGGTTTTCGTACCCGCCGTTTGTAAGTGCACCTACATGTCTGTGAACATTAAGATAACAATTGTCTGCATCATCAACAGAGACAGTTATTCCGGAAACAAATATTCAATGTATAAGGAGGTTGTTACGGGATGGATGTAGCAGCTTGTACGTACAATATATTATTCATATAACGTGTGGTGTTTATTATTAACATTGAGAGAGTTTCTGTTGTATAACTAATTGTTAATATTTCAAGAATACTTCATAAAGGGCATGGAATAATTACTGATTGTCATTAATATATTGGGCGTTGCATTGATATTGGAGGTCTTTAACTATTGTATGTATCACAGGTATCAATGCTTTGGTGTACATATAGGCATTGACAATGTGTTAACGTGGTGTTCGAATCATCTTCCCGAGGCAAGGGAGTTAACTGACTGTAAAAGTCTAGTTCCCGAGGCAAGGGAGTTAACTGACTATAAAAGTCCAGTTCCCGAGGCAAGGGAGTTAACTGACTATAAAAGTATGGTATCATGGAGTTATATTTTGGCTGGACTAACGGGTCTGTGCATAATCCAATCAAATCCCGTGACGAAATCGACATCCGGTTCGTAAACTCCAGTCAGATTTCGGACGAAATGCCAAGCATGTGTACCGTCATCTGGACGTCGACAGATATTTTCCAAATCTTTCCATGTTTTTAATCAAGGTGCTCAAACGGTTAGAAGACTTTTTACGAGGTAAGACCCGTTTTATTACCAAAAATATCATTATTATTGATCAGATATGAGAGGCGGAGTTTGATTGGTCAGTAGGAGGGACATAGAAGGGACGTAACGCGTAATAGACACTGTTGGCGCTACGATCGAGCCACGGAATTCCAGCCTTGTTCGGCAAGGGTGGTAGCTGGACTTTTGTAGTCAGTTAACTCCCTTGCTTCGGGAAGATGTGTTCGAAATGGTGTAGTCTGTAGACCTACATACACGTGCAAGCACGTAGGGTGGAGGGTTGAGCAGGTGGTTCTAGGGGTGTAGTCCTGGGTGTATGCTGGGGCAGGCCCGCGTGTTGGCGCATACAAGAATGAACACGGGGGATACAGGGGCATGGGTGTCAATGTGTATGTCGGTAACAGCGCCAGAATCAGCAGGGCGACTGAAGAAATGTTTGTCTTTTACGCTGATTTTCCTACAAGTTGTATATTTGTGATCTATCATCTTCGACAGAAAAGGATTCTGTGTTGCAGGCACCTGATGAAGCACGGGTACTTCTGAATGACCACGGCCCATGTTCCAGAGTAGACCCCGGTCAAGTGGTAGTGGAGGTCACTGAGGACGGAGTACCTGTTCGTGTGGTAGAGGAGGTCACTGAGGACGGAAGACCTGTTCATGTGGTACAGGAGGTCACTGAGGACGGAAGACCTGTCCATGTGGTACAGGAGGTCACTGAGGACGGAGGACCAGTTCATGTGGTAAAGGAGGTCACTGAGGACGGAGGAGATCATCTGGTAGGGAAGGTCATTGATGGTGACGGAGGATCAGGACATGTGCCAGAGGAGGTCATTGAGGACAACAGAGGACCAGGTCGTGTGATAGGGGAGGTCACTGAGGACAACGGAGGACCAGGTCATGTTAAAGGGGAGGTCATTGAGGACAACGGAGGACCAGGTCATGTGATAGGGGAGGTCACTGAGGACAACGGAGGACCAGGTCATGTTAAAGGGGAGGTCACAGAGGACAACGGAGGACCAGGTCATGTCAAAGAGGAGGTCATTGTGGACAACGGAGGAGCAGTTCATGTTAAAGGGGAGGTCACTGAGGACAACGGAGGACCAGGTCATGCTATAGGGGAGGTCACTGAGGACAACGGAGGACCAGGTCATGTCAAAGAGGAGGTCATTGTGGACAACGGAGGAGCAGTTCATGTTAAAGGGGAGGTCACTGAGGACAACGGAGGACCAGGTCATGCTATAGGGGAGGTCACTGAGGACAACGGAGGACCAGGTCATGTCAAAGAGGAGGTCATTGTGGACAACGGAGGAGCAGTTCATTTGGTAGGGGAGGTAAGAGATGGTGGGAAAGGCACTGTTGGAGAGTCAGAACCCCAGACTCCAAATGGCACAAGTATGCATCTTCAAAATGACTATGTATCAGCTACAAATATTGAGTATGTCTTTGCCATGAGCCAGACTGATTCCAACAAATCATCAGCACATAGCAACCAGTCCTACTCCATGTTGACACTCAGGGAGGAGGCAGGATGTTAAAGATGGCGGATCTGGGGAAAGACTGTGATGATGAAGTGTCCGGGTATAACAACAATGATGTCGGTACTCCGACTTAGGCAGTGCATGTTATGTTGGTGACATCACAAAGAATCCAGTAACACCAGTGCATTGGCCTGGTGACTGTGACCACCCTTGGGCCAGACAAGGGTAGATAACTCTACAGATGCATGCTATCAGGAAACCACTCAGGACCGGAATGTCATATCAGTTCTACAGTCCACCTCCAAAATGGCTTAAAACATCACAATAGACTAATTATGCTAGAATAAGAAGCCTTAAATATATACATACACTAACTTTCGTTTTTCTAATCCTATATATCAGGGGGCACGGGTGGCCCAGTCGTCTAAGGCTCCGCGATTCGCTGTGCAGAGTTGCGTCCCTTGGACACGCCAGAAACTTATGATTGTGGGTTCGAATCACGGTTCGCCCCAATTATGTTTCTAGGTTTGTCAGCACCCTACCCGTGCTTGTGGGTTTTACCGAAGTACATCTGAGACCTGCATCACTTCGGGCTTTCCTCCCACATTCAGCTGACATGCCGTGATATAACTTGAATAGTGTTAAAAGCGGCGGTAAACCCAACTCACTCACTAATCCTATCATTTTCAGCCACTGGGTGATAAAATTCAACATCAAACTGATTGGATTTCGTAAGCATGGTGAAATATTTGGACAGATTTTCCGATCAATTTGTAAAATGACATATTTAGCTGTTTTTTGAATTGCCAAAGTGACATTTTCAATCATTTTATACATTGGCAGTAAGATATATATATATCAAATAACACCTGTATGTCCAACAATGTGTTACCGAATTGTACACTGCTCTGTGTCTATGTAAAGCTGGAATATTTTGAGTGTGGCGTTAAACAAACAAATAATGTTTTGTATAAATATATTATTTTGTTTTTCGAGTTTTCCGTATCTCCTAAACATTTCCCTTAAACCCACATTCGTGTAGAGGCAATGAAGTTGAACAGTCGAGTGTCCTGAACTGTCCTGAACAGGAAAACACGATATTGAAGCGAAAGCGAAAGCGAAGATTGCGTATTTCAATTAGAAAAATACTTCCTGCGAAATATTTCCGGCATGACGGGCTGGTCAAGAAGTTTCACTCCACATGAACAGGACTCCAAAGTTTGGTATATAAAGTATTGAGTGGATGTATCTGTTTGCGCTGTCATCTGTCCTGAGTTGCATAATTGAAGGGAAGTAACTCTTCCAGGAAGAAGCTGCCAGGAAAATAGGACTAGTGAGTGAGTGAGTGAGTATGGTTTTACGCCGCTTTTAGCAATATTCCAGCACTATCACGGCGGGGGACACCAGAAATGGGCTTCACACATTGAACCCATGTCGGGAATCGAACCCGGGTCTTCGGCGTGTCGAGCGAACGCTTTAACCACTAGGCTACCCTACCTCCCCCCAGTTATACGGAAATTCGTGAAATGACGCAAGTGTCCGTATAAACGAGGCACGACTGTACAATACTTAAAGTCCGTTTGTGTTACCTTGTAGAGGCCATTAAAGCAGATTTAGGTGTTTGGATTTCTTCAAGGACCACGGCCATTGGCGGGTAATGACAACAACGTACGGCTGAAGCACATAGGACGTATATGGACAGATAATATTGAGTGAGTGAGTTAAAATTTAACGTCACATCGGCAGAATTTCAGCCATATCGTGACGAGGACATATTATATGCCGGACAGTGTGGGATTGTTGTTGTAACGCCTGCGGCATGGTTTCTCAGTGAGCTAGCACTATAAATCGGCATCAGACCGGACTAGTACAAGCAGCCACACACACACGTGCATCCACGTCGCTATATTAGCGCAATAGTCTTGGACGCGACGTTAAACCCAATTTCACCTCACCTCAAAAGATACTCTTCAGTTGACGGCTGCAGTGGCAATTAAGACTCATTTGATCTAATATTGATCTGGAACAAAATGTTACCTTTATTGTCAGATGACGTGACACAGGTAAACAATATTACCAATAACTTTAGATGATGGCCCTGGGACGTGACAAAGTTCAACAATATTACCACTAACGTCAGATGACGACCCTGGGACGTGACACAGGTCAACAATATTACCACTAACGTCAGATGACGGCCCTGGGACGTGACACAGGTCAACAATATTACCACTAACGTCAGATGACGGCCCTGAGACGTGACACAGGTCAACAATATTACCACTAACGTCAGATGACGGCCCTGGGACGTGACACAGGTCAACAATATTACCACTAACGTCAGATGACGGCCCTGAGACGTGACACAGGTCAACAATATTACCACTAACGTCAGATGACGGCCCTGAGACGTGACACAGGTCAACAATATTACCACTAACGTCAGATGACGACCCTGGGACGTGACACAGGTCAACAATATTACCACTAACGTCAGATGACGACCCTGGGACGTGATACAGGTCAACAATATTACCACTAACGTCAGATGACGGCCCTGAGACGTGACACAGGTCAACAATATTACCACTAACGTCAGATGACGGCCCTGGGACGTGACACAGGTCAACAATATTACCAATAACGTCAGATGACGGCCCTGAGACGTGACACAGGTCAACAATGTTACCACTAACGTCAGATGACGGCCCTGGGACGTGATACAGGTCAACAATATTACCACTCACGTCAGATGACGGCCCTGGGACGTGACACAGGTCAACAATATTACCACTCACGTCAGGTGACGACCCTGGGACGTGACACAGGTCAACAATATTACCAATAACGTCAGATGACGACCCTGGGGAAGTGTCAAAGTTCAACAATATTACCATTTATTTCACAAGATCTTTTCCCGTAAGCGTAAGTGTGAGGATATGTTTGAACATCGTCAACAGGTACTAGAGTTGATCAACTGAAGCAGTGAAGCACTATGTCACATGATGAAACATACTTCACCACACTTCAATTTTCCTGGTAATTTTATAATAATTTTGCATGTTTTTCACACTTAATTGAACGAAATGCACCAAATTTTGACATTTTGTTTTCCGGCCTGGATCTTTAGTGGAAAGGGCTCCGGAAGGCTTCCGGGAAACGGAACCCTCCCCCTTTTTCTGTTGGTCTATTCTTTCTCCTTCAAAACTCCACCCCACCCTCCCTAGAAAATAAAATGGTCGCTGACCATATGTCTCAGAACCAGATCACTTTATGCTTTCAAGCTAAAGCGCCGTGATGTAACTGAAAAACAGTTCAGATCGACGTTAAACACAAGTCACTCACTCACTCATTCTAGCTAACACTAGTCATCCCATGGTGAAAGTGCAACCAACGAAACCAAACGTGTCAACATAAACACTTCCCTAATGTAACGGCATACTGTACTTTTCTTCATTAGCTTCTCGGACCAATGATTTTAGAAACATGCTAGTTCATTTAACATGCAATGGGTCTGGTCATGACACGCACATAACGGCCGTTAAACTGGTTCCACTGTTGGTACGCGACGCAAGCTTAGCGCTGTTAGAGTAAGTGTAGGTAGACGGGCCCAGTCTTAACGACAGTCTCGTCTACCCGAGGGGGGTCATGTTTCTAAACAGCCGTCAGAGACTGCCGTTAGATCCGTCTCCTGTGTATTGAAAGAAAAGACACACACGTCGTAATTCAAGTCAAGGATCGATTGGTAAGTAAAATCATGTATGTGATTAAGACGTTTTGCGGGGGCTATTAATACTGCTCGAATGTTAACCGTTATCTCTGGCGAGAACCGGAGAAACTTTGAGACAAAGAAGGATCGGTTTATTCCCGCCATGCCCACACATAAATGTTTATTCATTGCCAATATTGTCACAAGCATGGGGATCTTGGCAAGGATTGTCAAGGATACATAAGCCGTAGTCCGGAACCGATATATCAAAACTGAGATATTTCAAACATAAATTTTAAAGGATAGACATATTCTTTCCCAATTATTATTTAGTTTAACATTTAGTGAAATCATCAATCAAAACACGCCATTTATACATAATAGCACTCAGGGAAAGAACCCCAAATACCGATTAAATGGTATATAGAATATTGTAAATGTACATTTTTCTTTTTTTATAACAAGATTAACGTTTACAAGCCAATGTAATATGACGTAGTGTCATGATAATGCTGGATGGTTGTGTGGTCATGCTAGAGTTGGCGGTGGACGGTCTGCATGGCCTTATCAAGCCATATTTCTTCTTCTGGGGTGGCAGGCATTCAGCTGCATGACAAGGATATCTGTTTTATGTTGCTTACCTTTAATCTTGTCTGTAAATGTGTCACATAGAAAGCAAAGACACTGATCTTTGGAGTGTCCAAGCGCGAACCCAAAGGTTGTTGAACCATGTTAAGTGACTCATCTTTGGTGTTGATGGTTGTTGTACAACCTGATGTTGAGCACGACAACGTGGAAACTGCCTGTGCGCCTATTCTTGATCACCTTCCCGGGGCAGGGGAGTTAGTTGACTTTTAAAATCCAGTTTCCACCCTTGCCGAACTCGGCTAGAATTTCTAGGCTCGATTTTAGGGCCACTAGTGGCTATTACGAGTTAAGTCCCTTCTATGTCATCTAACTGACCAATCAGATGACACGTCTCATATCTCTTGCACTTGCTTGGCGGCGCTCAGTAAAAGACAATTTAATCGATAGTAAAGATCTGTATTGTTTATAAAATGTGTTTTACCTCCCGAAGTGCATCAAATCACGCGAGCGCCTTAATTAAAAATATGAAAATCCAGTTGATGGTAATCATGCTCTGCAAATCACGCAATCGAACAAATTAAGCACGGTAGTTGGCAGTAGCCATGTTGCTTATGAACCGGGTGTCGATTTCGTGACGGGACTCGTTAGTCCATGGGGGTTATTATGTACGTTAAATTGCACATATCATTATTTCAAAGCGCGTACTGACAATGATTGAGAACAACACACACTATATATATGCAGTAAAAACTACGTTTACTACGAACACGCTTATATCGAACTGACAGATATAACGAACTCTTTTTGGTCCCGTCCATTTGCTGTATATATGCTTATACCGAACTACGGTTATATAGGGTGTGTGGGTGTAGGTGTGTGTGAGCATGACATACGAACAAGCCACATGTCCTTGTTCAAGAATCAAGAATACAATGCAAGCTCTCAAACAACAGATTCTGTTGTGGATATGCTGGATTGGGAAACACGATATTGACATATGACCTATAAGGGGCGGACCATTTGTTATTTAGGGGCTGAGATTTTCTTTATGCCACATTTCAAATTCAACCTATGGAAAGAATGTTAAAATGTTCACTAAAACATAATAACTGTACAGATGTAGGTTTTTTGTTTGTTTGTTGTTTCACGCCGCACAACGCTATGTAATTCTGATGATGAAACACTTGCTGTAGACACTTTCTAACTAACTAAGGGCAGATTCCATATTGAGTTCTGGAACAAACGTAATGATATGTTTGTTTATTTGTTTGTTTGTTGTTTAACGTCACACTCAGCAATATTCAAGCTATATGACGGCAGTCTGTAAATAATCGAATCTGGACCAAACAAACCAGTGATTGACATCATGAGCATCGACTACGCAATTGGGGTACAGATTGGGTGATTTTAAAACCGAACGTTGAAAAAAAGTAGTATAATAAAGCATTTTTATATGATGAAAGATCATACGAGGTTTCACTTGACATTTATAGATAGAGCTGGGGATTAAGGGTCCTGCCCGGTGCGATAAGAGGGGATACCCTGAATGTTTGCTGTATACATTAAACAGAAAAAGGAGACAGAATTTCTTTGAACTTTGGGAACATGCTGAAACAATTAGGTATTTTGGTTAAATGAAGTTTTAAAGAAACCTATTGAAGTGGTTTGCACTAGAACCATGCCCCCGAACGTCGCGGAGGTTTGGTCCTTAAAAGAGCTTTAAACGTAGTGACAGTATTGAAAGTATACAGTAAGGCGCATTTCTCCAATCAAAAAGATAAATGTTTGCCTCAGATTAGTCAGAATTAGGACATAATCACTAACATCATCACTCCATAGAAACAGGTGACGCCAGACCCATTAGGCTCCCTTTATATAAGCCAAACGCAGCCATTAGGAAAGAATATTCCAGACAGGTGCAAGAAATGTTGGAAGCTAATATCATTCAGCCCAGTTCTTCTGAATGGCACTCTCCTGTTGTCATGGTAAAATGAGATAGCTCTTACCGCTTTGCTGTAGACTATGGACGCCTCAATGCAGTTACCAAGCCTACATTTCCCCCCCCTACTACGTCATTGATGTCATATATAGGCGACAGTTATGCACACATTTTTAGAGTCCTTCATTGTGCTAGTGTCTTTTGGCAAATACCACCCCTTCAAGATACAAAACACAAGTCGGTCTTCATTACACCCGATCGTGTTTTTCAATCGAATCGCCTCCCTTTCGGCATTTTCGAAAACCATTTCAGGCACTAAAAGAAATTAATTGGCTTTGCATAAAAACATATGGAGATGTAATTATGATATTTTATAAAACGTTTCAAGAACATTTGAATCTCCTCAAGGCAGTATTCCAAAAGATCAAAGAAGCAGGACTCACTCTAAAACCAAGCAAATGTAAATTCGCGACAAAAGGTGACTATGCTTGTCGTAAAAGGTGACTAACGGGATCGGGTGGTCAGGCTCGCTGACTTGGTTGATGCATGTCATCGATCCCAATTACGTGGATCGATGCTCATGATGTCAATCACTTGATTGTCTGGTCCAGATACGATTATTTACAGGACGCCGTCATATAGCTGGAATATTGCTGAGTGCGGCGTTAAACAACAAACAAACAAACAAACAAACAAAACAAGTCACCTACTTAGGGCAAATTTTCAGTAAAGGTGGCATACATGTCGATCCTTCAAAAGTAGATTCAGTCAAACAGATCCCACTCCCTAAAAATGTCCATGACATGCGTTATTTTTTAGGCAAATTTGTAGCAAACCTTCCTGGCGTCGCCTCCCCTCTATACAACCTTCTGATAAAGGACAAGTCTTTCGAATGGTCCAACAATTGCAAACAGGAAATCGAAAAGCTAAAGTAATTCCTTACAACAGCCACCATCCTGGGATATACCGACCAAAACAAACCCTTCACCCTCACAACTAATGCATCTCAATATGCAGAAGGGTACATTTTAGACCAACTTGATTCTCTTGGCAAAACTTAATATTGAAAATTCAGGTCTTTTGACGAAAGCATCAGTCTCGTCCTGGACATCTTTTGCTCATCAGTTTAGGTTATCGCAATAAACTACTTTTATATATATCATGTTGTATTTTTTTCCAAGTAGGGGTAATGGTCACGCATTTCACAACATATTTAACAACTGTTTCAGTCATATCGCAGTGGGATAAACAGAGTCTGTTACCTTGTTCAAGGATACAACACAGTGACTTGCATGATATGGCCTCTCGAAATAGAAGATTTGAAATGATTATTAATAAATAAGAGTTATATATATTGTCTCTAATGGTGACATCTCGATGTCAAAGATTATGGTTTTGTTCACAAAATACTCTGTATTCATGAGGATGGCCTTATTGCGGTCGAGACTTTTTATTGAGATTGTGTTATGTTTTTTTCAAGCAGTTTTTTATTTTCACAAAATTATGAGTTGTGTTTTTGTTGTTTTTTTAAATCAAATGGTCCGCCCTTAAACAAGCGTATAGTGATATTGCTGTAATATTGCTGAATGCGGCGTAAGGCATCATTCACTCATTCAGCATGAGTACAAAGCCATTACGAAAGTTACGGTAGTAGAATTACAATCTGCTCGTGTTTCGTGAAATGTACCATGTTGTATGAACAGGACCTTATTTGGAGGCGGCAACACAATATTGTTTCATTGCAGGCCATGTCTTTCTTCATACAGAGTTGTCTCCCCTTCCGCTTGTTGTCAGGAGGCACCTGTTCAATGTCAAGGTCACTGATGCTGTTAATTGTCATTCTGTCAAGGTCAACGTCATTCCTCCCGGACAGATACGGAAGTAATTTTTTGTTAATCTTAATATATAGAGTGCGGATTATCAAACTACATATGAGGGAAAACATAAGCGATCGAGTCAGTTTAGCTTAACGCTGTTTTAAACAGTATTTCATTTATATCAGGGAATGTCAGCTTCATGTGAGAGGGAAGCCCGAAGTAATGCAGAACTTTTGGCATTTTGCTGAAACCAACAAGTACGAGTATGGTGCTGACCAACCAAAATACGATCAGGCGGAGACGGTGATTCAAACCCACCATTAGAGGTTTCAGGCCCATCAAAGGGACACAACTACACACAACGATTTCGGCCAACCGTGGCCCCAGACAACGATAAGTAATAACGATAATAGCTATCATAAAATGGTTAAATAGTGCTACGCTACACACGAGGAGGGGACACGGGTGGAACGGCTGTCTAAGGCGCTACATGATCTGTGCAGAGTTGCATCTTTTGGACACGTAAGGAACCTATGAGTGTGGGTTCGAATCCCGGTTCACCCCGTTTATGTTTCAAGGTTTGTCAGCACCGTACCCTTTCAAGTGGGTTCTGCTTAAGTGGTTAACATACAATTGTCTAAGACCTGCCTTACGTCGGGCTTTCCTCCCACATGAAGCTGCTACGCTGTGATATAACTGGAATACTGTTCAAAGCCGAGTTTAACCCAACCTACTCACATACTTACACACTATTCGCCTCCGTTGTCTAGTGGTAGAGCATCCGCCCGGAGAGCGGAAGGTGGGTGGTCTTACCCCGGCCACGTAATACCAAAATATCTTAAAAGATGGTACTTGTTGTTACCCTGTCTGGCGCTCGGCATAAAAGGGCTAAAACAAGGACTGGTCGGCTCGGAGTCAGTATACTGTGTCTGAGTGGGGTATTCATGTTAAACTGCGGCATGATATCTCAGTGTGCTGGCACTATTAATCGGCATCAGTCCAGACTAGTACAAGCAGCCACACACACACATGCATGCACGTCGCTATATAAGTGCAATAATCTTGGACGCGACGTTAAACCCAATTTCACCTCACCTCAACTCGCTTACACACTATTCGCCTCCGTTGTCTAGTGGTAGAGCATCCGCCAGGAGAGCAGAAGGTGGGTGGTCTTACCCCGGCCGCGTCATACCAAAATATCTTAAAAGATGGTACTTGTTGTTACCCTGCCTGGCGCTCGGCATTAAGAGGCTAAAAAAAGGACTGGTCGTCTCGGAGTTAGTCCACTATGTCTGAGTGGGGTATTTGTTAAGCTGCTGCATGGTATGTCACTGGGCTAGCACTTTAAAATCGGCATTACTCCGGACTAGTACAAGCAGCCACACGCACGCAAGCACGCACGCACGCACGCATGCACGTCGGTGGTAATCAACTCGTTGCTAATTACACTTACGTCTCTTTGCCAGAGCTTAAAGTAAACCTCAATCCAGCTTTCATCGGAGAGACGATGTTGTTTACATGCGTCATCACAGACGACAGTTTGCCTGTCAACTCCTCCGCTATCTGGATACGACGTCCAAACTCCAACACATCTCTCGGCAGCGTTGTGAACCAGAAGTTGACGTCGACGACGATCGAGGTGAAGGTGACGTCTATCTCTGACGCCGGCGTGTACTACTGTACCCTGACCACCCCGGGGGGAGATTTTGGCCTGGGTTATGTGCGGATCGATGTGGACTGTGAGTAATGACCAACCAATACACAAAATGAATTGACTTTTCCTCGTTTTTCAAATTGATTTACCTAACAGATTCAGTTGATCAACTCATTTTGTCAGTTTATCGATGTTGCAATCCCTTTCTTCTGCGTATAATTCGGTTAATAGTACAGTAAACTACGGATATAACGAACTCAAAGGGACCACAAATTTTAGTTCGTTATAACCGTAGTTCGTAAAAAGCATATATACAGCATAACTACAGCAAATAGTCGGGACAAAAAAGTAAGATCGCTATATCCGTCAGTTCGTTATAAGCGTGTTCGTTATAAACGTAGTTTATAATAAATACAAGTACAATTAAAAAGTTACGTTTGATGCCCATAATCTTTTATTTATCGTCTAGCGGCTTATTCTTATAAAATGTAATGATTTCTTTTTCATTTGGTTCCTTGTGACGATTGCCAGGAAAATAGGACTAGTGAGTGAGTGAGTGAGTGAGTGAGTATGGTTTTACGCCGCTTTTAGCAATATTTTAGCAATATCACGGCGGGGGACACCAGAAATGGGCTTCACACGTCGGGAATCGAAACCGGGTCTTCGGCGTAACGAGCGAACGCTTTAAAAACTAGGCTACCCGACCGCCCCGAAAATAGGACTAATGACAAAATAATATTCTTTAGCTCTGGGACTACCAAAAGATCTCGGAACTATTCGAATTTTGTTTGCTTGTTGTTTTACATAACGGCAGCCTGTTAACAATTGGACTTGGACCATACAAACTAATGATTGATATCATGAACAACGTCCCTCGGCGTCGAATCGTTTAGCTCCCTCGTGCGTCAAGAACTGGTTTGCTGGAGACCATTTCTACTCCGGAATTTCCTTGGTGCAAGTCGAACTCTGATGATACTGTTTTCATTTCTTATTCAATGTGGGGGCACGGTTGGCCCAGTCGCCTAAGGCGCCGCAATTCCCTGTGCAGAGTTGCGTCCCTTGGGCAAGCCAGAAAGCTATGATTGTGGGTTCGAATCCCGGTTCGCCCCAATTATGTGTCTAGGTTTGTCAGCACCATACCCGTGCTCGTGGGTTTCACCGAAGTGGTAAACGTCTGAGACCTGCATCACTTCGGGCTTTCCTCCCACATTAAGCTGACACGCCGCGATATAACTGGAATACTGTTAAAAGCGACGTTAAACCCAACTCACTCAATCACTCTTATTCAATGTAACATAGAAGCGTCTATGATAAGCCTCGTGTTGTTTGTCGGTTGTGTACAGATCCCCTGGCGGCTGTGACGAGCTTGAACTGCACCACACGGTCCCAACAAGTCCAGTGTTCGTACTCCCTACCCAGGGACTACCGGCACCCAGAACACATCACTGGTCGGGTGTCCTACAGCAATACGTGAGTTACATGTGAATGAGTATTGTTTTACGTCTATTTTAGCAACATTCCAGCAATGCCACGGTCGGGGACACCAGAGATGGAGCTTCCCGCATAGTATCCCTGTATCCAGTAAACGATTTGTTTAGGGGGAAAACATTTTTTGGACATATTATTCATTTTACCAGACAGACCCGGATGTACCTATATTTGCTTTTACTGTTGTTTCAGGTCCATTAGGGGTTCTCTCAAAAACAGCATTATTCTTAAGAAATTCTTAAAAAGCAACAAATAATGTCCATGATTATTCGAAATTTCTACTTAAGCACCGTCCTTGTACGATTCCTATCGACATCATAAGAGTGTTTTAAGATGCTTGTTTTGTTTTTTTTGTTTAACGCCGCAGTCAGCAATATTCCAGCTATTTGACGGCGGTCTGTAAATAATCGAGTCTGGACCAGACAATCCAGTGATTGACATCATGAACACCGATCCACGCAATTGGGATACGATGACATGCATCAACCAAGTCAGCGAGCCTGACCACCCGATCCCGTTAGTCGCCTCTTACGACAAGCATAATGATTTGAGCCATTTGTGGAACAGAATGATGCTGATGCACGTTAAAGTATACTTAATGCTAAAAAATTATGATTTAAAATATATGCAAATTTGATGTTTATGAATTCCAGACCAGAAGAGTCTATTGACACTGGAACCAACAGACGTTTCTCACTGCCGCCAGGATATGACCTATTTTTGCTGTACTATTTCCAAATACAGCTCCTGTACAGTGGACGAAATGTGACCTCGATGTCTGAATACTTCCCGGTCAACCCAATGGATGTAGGTGAGAAAACATCGTCAAAATGGCATGTGTTTGTGTACACTTTGTTCCACAGTCAACCGTGAATACATACAGCCGCGACCGCCTCCGTGGTCTAGTGGTAGAGCGTCCGCCCGGAGAGCGGAAGGTCCGGGGTTCGATCCCCGGCCGCGTCATACCAAAAGACGTTACAAGATGGTACTTGTTGTTACCCTGTCTGGCGCTCGGCATTAAGGGGCTAAAACAAGGACTGGTCGGCTCGGAGTCAGTATATTGTGTCTGAGTGGGGTATTCATGTTAATCTGCGGCATGGTTTATCAGTGAGCTAGCACTATAAATCGGCATCAGTCCGGACTAGTACAAGCAGCCACACACACATGCATGCACGTCGGTATATAAGTGCAATAATCTTGGCCGCGACGTTAAACCCAATTTCACCTCACCTCACCTCACCTCACCTCACATACAGCCGCTGTCTTGTATATTAGCTATTTTTAACCAACGAATCAAAGGCCTGGATTCAGGTAGAGAGAAGGCAATGAGTGTTCAGACCAAGGAGCAGGCAGCTTACATCAACACAACGGGGGGCACAGGTGGCCCAGTCGTCTAAGGCACCGCGATTCGCTGTGCAGAGTTGCATCCCTTGGGCACGCAAGAAACCTATGATTGTGGGTTCGAATCCCGGTTCGCCCCGATTATGTTTCTAGGTTTGTCAGCACCATACCCGTGCTCGTGGGTTTCACCGAAGTGGTAAACGTCTTAGACCTGCATCACTTCGGGCTTTCCTCCCACATTAAGCTGACACGCCGGGTTATAACTGGAATACTGTTAAAAGCGACGTTAAACCCAACTCACTCACTCACTCACTCACATCCACACAACCGAAATGTTTCTCTTTTGACAAAAGGAGTACCACGTGTCTTGTGTCACGAGATAATTCCCAAATTGAAACGCAAAGGTAAACCCAGAAATCGATAAGAAATCGGTGGAATGAATTTTTAAATGAATTATATTGAAACTTACAGCTTTAGGTTCACATTCAAACAAAGCTAAATAATGAGTCAAATACGTGGCAGCAGTAATACGTTACTGTAACAGACCTTACATGTACTTCTGCGTTCTTGAACCCGGAAATGTGGTGGACGCTCGCAGGAATTTAGTGTTTTCAAAAAGGTTCGCAGTAGATAATGCACACCTCGTGTCACTCTTATATGGGTATAACCAGCCTTCTAGAAAAAGGACCATCCCGAAACTTCTCGAACGATCAAGCCTTCCATGTTCGTAAACAACAACCAAGGATAACTCTAAAAACAATATTAGCGATTGTACTAGCACTTCACTCATTTGCTGCCACTGACGATCACGACAAATAAATGTACAACAGTCTTTCTGACGCATAAAACATGTTTGTTTGTTTGTTTGATGTTTAACGCCGCACTCAACAATATTCAGCTATATGACGGCAGTCTGTAAATAATCAAGTCTGGACTAGACAATCCAGTGATTGACATCATGAGCATCAATCCACGCATTTGGGATACGATGACATGCATCAACCAAGTCGCGATATCAATAGTCGCCTCTTACGACAAGCATAATCGCCTTTTACGGCAAGCATGGGTTGCTGAAGACCTATTCTACCCCGGATCTTCACGGGCACATACAACAGGTGGCTTTCTGTTCTGCATTTACATCAATGGTAGGGGGCGGTCGGGTAGCCCAGTGGTTAAAGTGTTCGCTCGTCACGCCGAAGACCGGGGTTCGATTCCCGACATGGATACAATGTGTGAAGCCCATGTCTGTTGTCCCCCGCCGTGATATTGCCGGAATTTGCTAAAAGCGGCGTAAAACCATACTCACTCAATCACTTATCAATGGTAGGTAATGGTAGGGTAACAGAGTAGGGTTCTTTTGGCCACACATGAGTTATAAACGGGATCATTTCATTAGCTGACTAAATATAGACACTCGTCACTTCTTCAAGGTACAGTGACCGTATGTATGTTGTTCCTACCCAGCGGTAACTGTTGTTTGCTTGTACTACTTGCATTAGCTCTCCCATTGATTACCATGGTTTCTCTGTTATAGTTATCCCCAAAGCAGTCAAGGATGTTGTTGTCAAAAATACGAAGACGCGGTCTCTACAGTTGTCATGGCAACCTCCCGATGACGCGGCTACATACACTTACCGAGTCACGTGGACGGTTGTGGGGGACAAAGATAAACAGGTGAGTTAGACGAAGCTGTATTTTTATTATATATTGTATATTTATATTAATTGACTACACCCTCTCAGTGTTGTTCACGATTCTAGTGCGGTGGCCCAGTGGTTCAAACGTTGGCTTGTTACACAGACGCCCGGGATCGATTCCTGACATGGGTACACTGTGTGAAGCCCATTTCTGATGTCCCCTGCCGAACGTTTGCGTGAATATCGCTAAAAGAGGCGCAATAAACCTCACTCACTCACTGAAGATGTACATATTCATGTGAACAGGAAGATCGTTTACTTCTCGCCTTTCCTTAAAGTTGAAAATAATATAGTACGAATGATTACTTTTGTGTATTTTTAGGCCGTGCCATTGAGTGGTTATAATTAGGAAAGTACAGAACAGGGGACAGAAAATAACGTTTGGCTGTCCACATGACCAAGAAGAAATTTCGTCCCATGCAACCTCGTTGTCTATGAAAGAACTGAAACCAACTCTTAGCTAAATTTATGCTCTTTCATTACAAAACTTACCACATACGTTTTAAATAAATCTGTTATTTCTAATCTCAGACACACAACATGGAAACGAATTTTACCCAGTCGAGCTTGTCGAACCTGAGACCATCAACCAATTACACCATCAACGTTAAGTGTCGAGAACGTCATCGTCAGGAAGGTTACTGGAGCTATGGATACTTCATAACTGTCAAGACGTTGGAGGCCGGTAGGTGGCAGTGTTGTAGACTCGAGGTGACACAGTTGCTGCCAAGACGTTGGATGCCGGTAGGTGGCAGTGTTGTAGACTCGAGGTGACACAGTTGCTGTCAAGACGTTGGATGCCGGTAGTTGGCAGTGATGCAGACTCGAGGTGACACAGTTGCTGTCAAGACGTTGGATGCCGGTAGGTGGCAGTGATGTAGACTCGAGGTGACACAGTTGCTGTCAAGACGTTGGATGCCGGTAGGTGACAGTGATGTAGACTCGAGGTGACACAGTTGCTGTCAAGACGTTGGATGCCGGTAGGTGGCAGTGATGTAGACTCGAGGTGACACAGTTGCTGTCAAGACGTTGGATGCCGGTAGGTGGCAGTGATGTAGCCTCGAGGTGACACAGTTGCCCCCAAGACGTTGGATGCCGGTAGGTGGCAGTGATGTAGACTCGAGGTGACACAGTTGCTGTCAAGACGTTGGATGCCGGTAGGTTGGTAGGCTGTTTCAAGGCTCGCATACTTCCATGGCTCAAGTGCCCAAGCCATGATGCCCAAGTTTATCCTGACAGATGTCAAGATGATGATATGCTTGTCGTAAGAGGCTTCTAACAGGATCGGGTGGTCAGGCTCGCTGACTTGGTAGATGCATGTCATCATATCCAAACTAGGTGGATCGATGCTCATGATGTCAATCACTAGATTGTTTCGTCAGACTCGCTTATTTTTCAGACCGCCGTTAGCAGGAATATCGTCCAGTGCGGCGTTAAACGACTAACAAACAAACAAAATTCAGATGATGATTTGTTATATGCTTTTTCAATGATGTCAACTTTATCGTTCAATTACACCAAAAGTTGGTAGAGTCTGTATTATTATCTGCACTTTCAGTTCCAGGGCGCGCACCACGGGTGTCACCTGCCGTGGCTAGAACTGACGGAGGGAGTGTTGTCGTGTACTGGCAGGTAGATAGATACCAGGGTCTCGTTCAGCAAAGTGATCACAGCGCTATCGGCTAACGCAAACCAATTTTAAAGAATGGGAGTCGAGGAAAGAAGAAAATCCAAATGGATCATAAACATCAGAATTTACAAAATTCCCCCCAAAACATTTAATCGTGTCACCATTGGGCGAGTTTGATAGGAATAATGTATATGGGGTCACTGAATATGAATATGACATTAATATGTCTACAGCCTCTGTCGCCTAAGGAGGAGAATGGGGAGATGCAAGGCTACCGCGTGCAGTGTGGAGATGAGGGGGAGAGACGTGTTGGTCCAGGGGGGTTCTCTGAGACGCTGGACAACCCCACTGAACGGCGTGGACTGTGGTGTGACGTGTACGCGGTCAACAACATCGGAATGTCGCCCTCATCATCTCTGTATATACCATCACGGAGGTCAGGTAAGAACACGTGGTCACTGTATACACCATCACGGAGGTCAGGTAAGAATACGTGGTCCCTGTATATACCATCACGGTGGTCAGGTTAGAACACGTGGTCTATGTATACACCAACTTGGACGTCAGGTTAGAACATGTCGTATCTGTATACACCATCACGGAGGTCAGGTTAGAACACGTGATCTATGTATACACCAACTTGGACGACAGGTTTGAACATGTCGTATCTGTAGTATAGACACAGAACACGTCGCTGTAATAAACAATGGTTAACCCTATTATTTGGTGCGCATTAAAGTCTTCATTTGATCAGACGAATTATTTGCGAGCCGTATTTTATTTGTGTTTTACAGTCGTTAAGAAACCATATAAATACTAATTTATGATTTAGTGTTGATGCATCCATGTGGGAAATAAATTCAGTGAACAGATCTTTGTACAATAAATCGGTGAATAGATCAAATAACTTTGTCCTTTTGACTTCTGTGATTTTAAAACTCATACACGTTACTGTCCATTGAATGCATTGGGCAAGCTGTATTACCAATTGCACGCAGTGGGCAAGCTGTATTACCAATTGCACGCAGTGGGCAAGCTGTATTATCAATTGCACGCAGTGGGCAAGCTGTATTATCAATTGCACGCAGTGGGCAAGCTGTATTATCAATTGCACGCAGTGGGCAAGCTGTATTATCAATTGCACGCAGTGGGCAAGCTGTATTACCAATTGCACGCAGTGGGCAAGCTGTATTATCAATTGCACGCAGTGGGCAAGCTGTATTATCAATTGCACGCAGTGGGCAAGCTGTATTATCAATTGCACGCAGTGGGCGAGCTGTATTATCAATTGCACGCAGTGGGCAAGCTGTATTATCAATTGCACGCAGTGGGCAAGCTGTATTATCAATTGCACGCAGTGGGCAAGCTGTATTATCAATTGCACGCAGTGGGCAAGCTGTATTATCAATTGCACGCAGTGGGCAAGCTGTATTATCAATTGCACGCATTGGGCAAACGGCCTGCCCAGTGCAGGAACGGGCAGTTGCACAGATACTATCAGATAGGCCAGGTTAGGGAACTCTCGAAAGTGTTCAGACAAGTTCTCTAATGCTCAGACAAGTTCCCCGTTGCTCTGACAAGTTCTCTATTGCTCTCACAAATACTATTGTGCAACAACAAATACTCTAGTGCTGAAAGAGGTTTTCTCGTGTTCTTATGGTATAACACAACAGACCCGTGAATACCCGGTCTTCAGCAACCAATGCTTGCCGTAAAAGGCGACTATGCTTGTCGTAAGATGCGACTAGCAGGATCGGGTGGTCAGGCTTGCTGACTTGTTTGATGCCAATTGCGTGGGTCGATGCTCATGGTATCAATCACTGGATTGTCTGGTCCAGACGCGATTATTTATACAGACCGCCGTCATATAGCTGGAATATTGTTGAGTGCCGCGTTAAACAAAAAAACCAACTAACAACTAACTATAATACAACATACACTATGTTGTATCTACAAACGAAGCGTGTGTGCGGTGTGGATGCATCTAGGTAAATACAGGAACAGTGCAGGGTCTATGATGTATCATGTAGGGTTGTTTTATTGCAGAGCTGACCCCCCGGGACTTCTGGGTGGTGGGTGGGGAGGAGGTCACCAACATCACCTTCTTCTGGGACTCTGTGGGTCGGGAACAACACAACTGTGCAGCGTATTGGTGTCAAGCAGCAGACCAGTCCGACATGTGCCAGGTAAGCAACACAACCTGACACAATAACACAACACAGGGTGACAAGTCATAGCATTACACAACCTGTCATATCACAACACGGCACATCACAGCACAACACAGGATGACATCGGACAGAAAATCAAAATATATATAATGCAATGCAATATTTTACAAGGCACAACACAGCACAGCACAACATAAAAGTGCAAATATTAACTGTACATCTGTACAAATGTGATATTCTTACTTAATTCTGGCCTCAGCCAATCGGCTGTGTGTTACCTGTTATCAATTACTTGTTGTTGTTGATGCTAATTTGCTAATCACAACATATTATTCATATATCCTTCTCTTCACTTGGTTGTAGTCACTCCGGCTTTATAACAATCTCATTAAAATCAGACCTCAGTCCTCGCTACCGCTAAACAAAGATCTGAGGACATCCCATTAGGGGTCACGTCAGAACGACCTTTCATCCGACCAATCAGAGCATCGCTTACCAGATTATGAAAGTGACAGTCGGAATGGGATTTCTAATCATCCAACCTCGAACACTTTAACTCCGAACGATAGTTACGGGTTTAACGACTGAATCCATACAATCTAGACCGTCTATTAGCCATTCCAGAATGTTCTTTTGTTCAGGTTTCAAATCTGTAATCGAAAATTTGTCAAAATATGTTTCGAAGTTTAGTCGCCAATTTGAAATTAGTGCCGTAAAGCACGAGAAAGCTGCCCTCTGATTGGTCATTCCATTGGTCGGTCAAAGTTTGCGCAAGGTCAGTCAGTAATGAGATTGGCTTGATAACAGTGTAAGAATCTACATCGAAACGTCGCTATACATGTATGCTTTCTTACATGCAAATATTAAAATAAACAGCACAACACACAAATAACTATACTTTTGCATTGTAAAGTACTGCACACCAATGGTAAGTACAGCACAATTCTACATATTTATAAGGACGTATGCTTTAGCTGTAACTCAATGCGTATTTGCCTGAAAACAGTGCAGTTTAAACATATCTACGAAGCAATTTAGGCGTGCAGGTCCAGTGTTTGTATTGGAGGTGTTCAACTTTCAGACCCCTGCCCAATGGGAGACCGTGACATGTGACCAACAGAGTCTGACCCTCCATACCGGTCACGTGATAACTGACCAGCGCCTTATGGTGGGCTTCTCGGCAGAGTTGTCTGCCCCTGAAGGTCTTATCTGGAGCACTATCAAGTGGCAGTACTGTATCTATGCTCAACACAAAGGTAAGGTATTATAGGTACAGTGTTTCTTAATAGTAGCGAAGATCAGTGTGATGGTACCAGATTTGAAAACACGTTTTCCTCGTATTCTAAAATATGTTTTTCAAAACCTAAATTAGCTACTATGGCCTGCAGATCTACGATCTGTATCATCATTCTCTTCTCGGCCTATACGACCGCCTCCGTGGTCTAGTGGTAGAGCGTCCGCCCGGAGAGTGGAAGGTCCGGGCTTCGATCCCCGGCCGCGTCATACCAAAAGTCGTCAAAAGATGGTACTTGTTGCTACCCTGTCTGGCGCTCGGCATTTAGGGGCTAAAACAAGGACTGGTCGACTCGGAGTCAGTATACTGTGTACAGTATACATGGTATCTCAGTGGGCTAGCACTATAAATCGGCATCAGTCCGGACTAGTACACACACACACACGTGCATGCACGTCGCTATATAAGTGCAATAATCTTGGACGCGATGTTAAACCCAATTTCACCTCACCTCACCTCGGCCTAAACCTATGGACTTGAGCTGTGCTTTAGCCCTGAGACTTTGGAGCTAACATCATTCCTAGCAGTTTGGAAAACATCCACAATATGAATGGCAATGATGGCCGCATCTTCCCGAGGCAAGGGCGTGAACTGACTATAAAAGTCCAGTTTCCACTCTTGCCGAACTAGGCTGGAATTCTGGTGTTACATTTTGGCTGGACAAACGCATCTATGCATAGCCCAATCAAAATCGCGTAACGAACTAGACACCCGGATTTTAAACAACATGGATTACAACGTGCAGATTTCAGTCGACTGCAGGATTTGTACAGCATGTGTACCGCCAACTGGGCGTCGACAGATATTTAGCAAATCGTTTCATGTTTTTAATCGAAGTCCTCAAGTGATTTCATGACTTCGCTGGGTAAGACCCGTTTTATTACATTTAGATCTTTATTACCGATCAGATCGTAATGACTGTGCGCCGCCATTTATTTTGAAGCAAATGCAAGTGATATGAGAGGTTGAATCTGATTGGTCATTAGGAGGGACAAAGAAGGGACATAACTCGTAATAGCCACTGGTGGCGGTCGAGCCCGGAAATTCCAGCCTAGTTTGGCAAGGGTGGAAACTGGATTTTTACAGTCGGTTAACTCCCTTGCCTCGGGAAGATGTAATGGCCGAAAATTTCCCTTTTTTGTCTTGTACCATATGGTGCCTTGTTTGTTGCCTTGTCAGCTCTCACTTCATGTGGAGCAATATCTAGCAGGTCCAGCCTTAGGTGTTTACATGACAATCTTTGAGGAGTGAGTGAGTTAGGTTTTACGCCGCTTTTAACAACAATCCAGCAATATCACGGCGGGGGACACCACAAATGGGCTTCACACATTGTACCTATGTCGGGAATCGAACCCAGGTCTTCGGCGTGACGAGCGAACGCTTTAACCACTATGCTACCCGACCGTCCCTCAAGCTTTGAGGAAAAATTGAGGACGATATTTCTACGAAGATTTCAATGAGCGCCATACCACGTTTGCGAAAAGTTGTTAGATCAAGGTTACGACAGGCGGAGGACATTCGATATTGAACGCATTAGTGACAGAAGTGATGCCTGATACAAGTCCCTGTTTTGACTTGTACCATATGTATCTGTGTTTTTTGTAGAGTTTCCTTTGCGTGTGTTTCTGATGATTCCAGCAATGGGGCAGGATAAGCTCATCTTTAAGCAAACAACTCGTACCATCACTATTTGATATACCCAGACTTATGATATAGTCGGAATCATACAACGGACACTGCTCTCACACGCATAAGAATGAAGGATGTCAATATGAATTAGTCGTTTGGACTTTACATATATTTTAATAAGAATTGATCATTCTGTGGTAGGAACCCTATAAATATTCACGAGCCTAGAGTTGTCTGGAGTCGAGCCTTCAGACGTCCTGCATTCTAACAGACACGCATGACGTCACAAAGAAGGCGGAGCCATAAAGAATAGGCTTGTTGGTCGCGTTATCCAAATCAACTGGAAGAACGACATAGCCCAGTCGGGTAAAGGAAGAGGCCATTGTTTTCATGCAAAGGATAAAACATATAAACAGACTTGAAGACGTTGCTTGTCTAGTCGGGAGGGTTACTGAGAAATCTAAAACACCTGCGCGCTGACCTGGCCTCTCTTACTATGCTTTTTCAATCGAGTGCGGCCCGGAAAAAACCCATTGGTGGAACCTTTCTCCTATTTTATTTAGTCTGTTGGTGAAGGTTATAAAAAACGTATATTTACACACGGGGGTAAAGGAGAAGAATTAAGTCCAACATCAATGGCTATTGAAACAGATGTATTGCTTGTGCCAATAGTCTTACTTTATGAAGATGACACCATATTACTCGCGCAGACATCAGGACGAACAACAACATCGAAAAGATTTAACATTTCCAATTTTGGAGTATAAATGTGTCTAAAACTAAATTAGTGATATTTGAGGTAACAAAAAGGACACATTAGTTGGTATATTTGCAGTGTAGATTATGAACCGTTAGGGCTGAAGTATCTTGGTATCATGTTTCATAGATTAAATATAAATTAAAAACTTCACATTTTTAAAAGTAATCCCATATATGATATACAACGGACAAATGTGTCAGAGAAGGTAATTCTTAATCATTAATGTCCAAAGAAGGATTTTAATTAACGGTGGTAACAATAATTTGTTCCAAGCACCTACGGTATTCGGTAATAACATCAACAGTTTAAATCATAAGTCCCAAGCACGAGAATCTGATGGCACACAAGTTCAGTAGTGTGTATGGCCACCATGTGCGTTGACAACTGCCACACAACGCCTCCGCATGGACCTTGTTATGCTTGTGAACACATGATTGGGAAGACGACGCCATTGTTGCTGCAAAATGGTGCCAAGATCTTGCAAATTCTGTGGTTGGTTCTTGAGAGTGCGCAGACTTCTGCCAAGAGCATCCCAGACGTGTTCGATGGGATTGAGGTCAGGAGACCTTTGACGGCCAGTCCATGACGTTGACTCCCGCATTCTGAAGGAAATTCCTTGTCAAAATTTCTGTGTGGGGTCTGGCATTGTCGTGTTGGAAGAAGTTCTGGTGCCAGTACCTGGTCGCGGTAAGCAGCAGCGTTGAGGTTGCCACGGATGACAAGAAGCCTGGAACGTGCATTGCAACAGAAAGCACCCCACACCATGACACTTTCG